AAATTTATTGAAGGCCTTTGCTTTAGAAGGAACGCAGAGGGCGCTTTGAACGCCGCCGAAAAAAAACGATAAATATTTTATTTTTCTAACATTTATCAAATGTTGCTCTCAAAATGCATTTTAATGTGCCATCGAAGAATATTTCAATTTGGACGGTGAAAACGCTAACTTTGTGGTCAGAATTGTTCTTCAACTGCGATAGCTATCCTATAAACAATCCGAGAAGCTCTAAGGACATACAAAAACAATCATTCCGTACCTGAGAACAGCCAGATGCAGACTTCTCATAATCAAATCAATAGCAGCAGTCAGCGACATAAAGACTGCTGTCCCCCTAACCAGTTCCGTACGATTTAAGAACTATTTAATTTATATTAGAGTTGACTCGGTGTATTTGAATTTTCAGCATTTGAATTGCTGACTCGGTGCACTCGACCACCATGTTTGTGTATGGTGTGTTTCATTGAGATTAGTCGATTAAAACCTAAGGTCTATCAGAGGTAAACGCCATCTTCATATCGCAATTCTGTATTTATAATGAAGTATAGGGTTACAGGGAAATCTTGCCCACTCCTTTCCAGGACGAAGAAGTTACGGATCCCGTACATATCGCGGTTCATTTTTGAGCTAGAACTCAATTTTTTAGAGGAGAATTTTACACTTATATTGGAGATACTGATGGAAAAATACATGCAATTGTAATGAAACATGTATTTAATCTTACGAGCTGAGCGCGTTTCCGCCAGAAGTAAAAATGAATCTGAGACACGCCCACAAAAGACTTATTTTCGCGTTTCACTGTCATATTCTTATCTAAACTCACCAGATGACCAGTGAGAGCTCGCGCACTATCTCATTTATTTTATAAATACGGCCATATCGTAAGTGATATTATTGTAAGTAATGCATTCTATTACATTGTACTGTCAAGTACTATAAAATTTATTAGTTTTATTATAAAAAAGAAAATTAAAAAAATTTCGGCCATACATATTACTTCATCTCAAGGATGAATTATAGATTTCATAAGAGCTTCTTCCTACATTGCTGGCAGCGCCCGTTTCTTGGCGTTTTTATAGACCTCGACTTCATCTGAGTCTGTGAAACGCGTAAGAAGAAGCCAGTCAATTTCCAGGCATCTCCATCGAACGCTTGAGCAACAATGCATATATCTTTTGACCTATTTGCCGACAACAACAGCACTGCCTATGAATGACAATTTACACAAAAGATTCATTGCCTCCAAAAATGCACCGCCTCCTCATTACCGTGAATGAGTGATATGTCTAATAGCAAGGGATTTTTATTCGATAGAGATCACGTTTTTCTATGACTGGCAAAATGAACTTCTTCTTAACTCTTATTAATTTTAGACACAAAATTGCAGCCTATACATTGACTTTCAATGCAGCCAAAGTATATAATAGTAGTTGTTTCGTGGGTAAAGTGAAGGCAGGTGTTAGTGAAAAATATGCAGTAAAGATACGAGAACATATGGCGCATTTAATTAACAGTAAAAAATAGCCCAGTCATCATTCATCTAATTAATGTATGGGATCTTTATGATGTTTTCCGAAATACCTCTCTGGTTACATTTTCAAATTCATCTTTGATAGAGAATTGCTAGGTCACAGGATACGTCAGTGCGGACATTTCGTGATATTTACTGAGCTCGTGGTTCAAAGTTTTAGAACAGTCGTCTTATTTCCTAAATTCTCAAAATGCTCAAGAGCTCAGTAGGTTTGAATAATTAATACTAGGTCACATAGCCAGAAATGAAAAAACCAAACAGATAATTGTGCCCTGGGAGGCTTAATTTAAATATAAATTTGTGCTGTCTATTCAAAGATAGACACCTGTCTAATCATCATGGATGAGGTATATGGTAATTTTTTCGCCTATCATTCTATAAGCGGAAAGATGCTTTGCCAAACGTTTTGAGAGCATTACAAAGTGGGCTTCAATAGATTTCTCACAGGTGCTCTGGCTAGAGTCATTTCATCTTCGAGATAAGGTAAGGAAATTATAGAATATATAAGTTAGGCGATTAGTGCTGCTTAACATGCGCTAAAGAGATAAAATAAAGACATTGAGGAAGCTCGGGAATTCAGATTAGGAGGGCCCCGGTAATTGAAACAATGTATGTACGACATGCCAAAAAATGTGAAAAGCATTTCGCGGCACGCTTGTTAAGTTCTGGAAGGTGTTCAACAATATTTCGTGGTCGGAGTAAAGATTAAAAGCAAATTACCAACAGCTAAATTTAAAGAGAAGAATCCAGACTGTTCGAGAAATTTGAAAGTAGTAATTACGCCCTTACCGTATAACTCGAAGAGAAATTAGGAAAAGAAAGGATCGGGTGTCTATCACGTCTCAAAGAATTGAATGTCATTTAGACGCATCGGGATAGAGTTTTTAGCTCAATGATTTTCCTCTGGCTCTGTTTGGAATAAAAGGGTAATTTAGTGTTAACGACTGCGTTGAAAACGTAGATTCTCTAATCACCTATTTTTGTTTCAAATAGTTGTGTTATAACATTCAAAGTTTCTTGGGTAACCACTCTTTCTTAAACCAGGTGCAGCTAATTCTTTTTCGCTTTTTTCACAAGGAGCATTTGAATTAAACGATAATAGAGGAATTTCAATGCTGGGTATTTTACTTATAATACACCACGCTCTTACAATTACACAATAAAAGAGAAAGCTTGAAGATTATTGCCATTTTCTTTATGAGAACGATATATTTATCCACTTCAGACTTTAAGCGTAATGATGGCTTCCTGTGTTGATTCATTATTTAAATTTGTATAAAATATTCACCCCGAAGTTCATTTAAATTCATGCTGGGAGCCAGAAAGAAGCCTTTAACTTTCACAAACTCAATCATATAACTATATTAATGTAAGTCCCTTGAAGCAAAAGTGTTCTAAAACCTTCATAAGCCATGTAGAGTTTAATCATAAGAGGAAAAAACACTTTTGAAAAGAAGTATTACAGCATCAACAATGAAGCTGTAAAAGATCAAATTAACCTCACGATACCGATAAGCGAAACATTGATAATTGGAAAAACAGAACAAATGACACCCTCTGGATCAATACCATTCTATTGTTTATAGTCAATTATTCACGAAGTATATACCAAAGTGTCATTGTTCCTTCAGTTCGAATGAATGAGGCGTCATGGTAAAAAAAAGAAAAACTGATTATGCGTTGCGTGCATGTTATACTGCAAGTGAGTAGAGTATTTTGGGTGGGCAACTGAATTGTCTGCATGTTAGCCAATGAAGCTGGTCCAAGAGTAAATAAGGGCTCAAAGTACGAAGAAGTGACACCAGCTGTAAAGCACCGATTAATCGCATGTTTTTTTCGAAAAAAGAAACTTCCGAAAAATCTCTTTTATACACCGTATATGGTTTAAGGAACGTTTTCTTTCCTTCAAAGAAACTTCACGAATACTTGACGAAACATTAGATTGTATTTTGATTCTAAAAAAAATGTTAAAAACAAAATTTAAAAACATTTAATGTTAAAAAAATTTGAATGATCAAAATTCTGCAAAGTGTACTGAAATTTGAATTTTAGATCCTTGTGCGAAAAGGTGCAGGAGTAGTTTTCAATAACCGTTTTCCACCGGTCCACCGTCGCACCTTTACATTTGTTTATTAACCTACCCGTAAGCAACATGAAAAGTCCGAAAATAAAAAGAAATAAAACGTCAATAATTTCTTAGGTATAAACAGGTTTCTTTTAAAACATAGATCCAAAAGATGCGTAGAGTAAAAATAGTACAACAAGCAACAGACCTCCTGGATTTTCGACGGTACAAGAAAACAGGAAGGAATGAGAAGGGAAAAGGTAATAACCTCACTTTTGTTAAAAATACATCTAAAGGCCTTAAACTATCGAAGTGAATTAGCTTGACTGAAGACTTAAAGCAGTTAGTCTTTGTCAGACTCGGTAAAAGTTGATAAGAAGAACAGGAAGAAAAAAGGGGAACGAGAAACTGCCTCTAAAGTTGCAGGATCTAAAACTGCTCATGTTTCCGTGGAAACCTCTGAAATTCAACTGATCTAATAATTAAGGGCGTCAGAAACAGGGAAGAATCATTTAACCTTTGTTTTTACCTTGAAAACAGTATTGAAATTTAAGCTCAGAGTAGTATCTTGGTGATCATATTACAACAACATTATTTCCACCCAATCATTACTTAGCACTAAGAGTATCTAATGTGTTTAAGGTGATTGCGCGGAAGGAGTTGAGCTGAAGAAGTCGTGGAAACAAAATGTTTCTGAAGGTTTGTTGCACTTTGCATATGCTTCGCACATTCCGGTCACGTATCCTTTGCCATGCGTATTCTACTGCTATTTTTATCGGACCTCTCCGTTTTTTCCTGCCATATTCGAGGATTAGGTAAACTGCGAAATTGGTTTTTGCAGTTGTTGATGATTTGGAATGCAGCTGTTACTTTATTTTTGTTGCTATAATTGTCGCAGCCACTGTTGCATCTTTGCTCAGGATATTTTCTCAGTGCCTTTACTGAATTTATTTCTGGCATTGTTATTATTGGTTTAGCTGATGACTTGGCAGAATCACGAGTTAAAGTGTTTTTCAAGGGCATAAGATGTTAACTCAGTGACCTTAACCAGAGAAGTCACATCCCTCTTCTTAATCTTTCATGACTTCAGAATAAATTAACTAAGAGACATGTAATCCTAAAGTTAAGTTTTCTTCCTCGAAGGTCGTTGACAAATCGAGCAAAATTTATTTACCATTGGAGAAAAAGCGCTAATTTTATAGCTGCACTTTTTTAGTTGGTGACTTAGCAAGATCACGGGTTCAAGAGTGATCGTAATATCTTATATTTTATATTTTATAATAGTTTAGTTCAGTGGCTGTTAACAGAGAAGTACTCCTCTCCTCTGAATCTCTCATCACTTCAGAATAAATTGATTTACAAGACGCGCCAAATTTTCTTCCTCGTCAATATGGTAGGCAAATTGAACAAAGTTTATTTTCCATAGGAGAAAAAGCGCTGAAGAAATTAGCAGCGGATAAAGTTGGCAACCGCAGCGGTCAATGGACTGTCGACGAAATTAAAAGCATGGTTACTGTTAAAAATTTATGTTCTTGCAGTGATCCTATATCGACAGCTTTTAAGGTAGAGTAATTTTGCTCCTACGTAAATTTGATTATGATTAAACAATAGTTTCACTTTGACAGGTTTCTACTTATGTTCTCCTGGGACGACGATATGGCAATGACCAATATAAACATCAAATTTGGCTTTTACCTGAGTCATGCAGAGAAAAGTTCTGCGAGGGAACCGGGTAACTTTCATTTCAAAATACGTTTTGGGCTCTTCCTATAAAAAACAAGTGACCACTCCAATACACTTTGAACTGAAACCTCAATAAACAGTCTCCTTCTTTTGAATTTCTTGTTCATCATTTCTCCTGAAAATATATGTTTTTATTATCCCTTTTTTGTGACAAGATCATGCTGAACTCAAAGTAATTACATTTTAATTATATAACAACGCAGAACGCCCAAAGCAGAGTCTTTTTCTATAAACTGTAAAAACAGGGTTCTTTGAAAATAGTGAGAAAGTTTTTAATACTTTATTCTCATGTTTATTTGATTGATTATAAATTTCTTGGTCTTCAGGTTAACAGTAACTTGCGGGTTTTGGCAAAATCGTACATAGAGAATACCGAGACCCTAAACAATCTTGCAGACCAGACAGAGGATTTTGCTGTGCAACTCATCGATCAGGTTAATGGCAGTGAGCAGCTTGCATTGCAAGACGTACCGGGAAACGTTAATCGCTGTGCCTCGATGCTCAGCGGCATGACGGATAAGGCAATTGAATATTCTCAAAAGAAAGTACGTATCTTTTTGAAAAACAACAAAAATATAGCTTGACAGAGGTGTCACTTTTCTTAAAGATGTTGCATTAAGAGTCCGATTGTGATTACCTACAGAAAACTGAAACTATGGTGAATTACAATCTTGAACAGCCCTTTCTCATACCAGACCGGAGTAATATTGGTAATGCATACTGATTTGGAACTTTGCTAGCTTTCATCAGCATGGCTATTTAGTACATAGCTCATATTATACAAGTTTTCTTATTGATTTCGTTTGTCATCTTTTTTTTTTTTTAAATTCTGACTCTTTTTACCAATAACAGATTTGAATTATTTTATAGTTTGTTGCACATCCTTTATTGTACAAGAGACTACAAATGAGATGGAATCTTGGAATACCTAAGGTTTTAAAGCCTCGTGAAAAGTTTCGACCTTTTCTGTACCTGCTGATACTGATAGACACGATCCTCACTCCATTTCTGCTTCCGATTATTGGATATGCTTTTTACCATGACCAAAAAGAGGTGCAAAATCTTTTCATATAGTTTGTTATGCTTGTTATTTGAGCTATATCGTTTGCTGTCTTTGACGACTGACTTTTGATCTTTCATGAAAACTTTTGTATTCTTATCATTTTGCAGAGGCGTGTGAGGTCACAAGAACAAAGAGGAAAATCGCGTACGGGTGTGAAAAGATCACGATGGAGTATCATAGGTATGTCAGAATACTAGAAAAATTAAAAAAAAAGATTTTTTTAAAATAATAAGAGTAAAAAAGCTGGTTGGTCGTTCGGTTTCCTAACTTACCCTCTTGCCAAGTTGATAGAGGGATGGATTGATGAAGTGATCGAGTCAAATATCAAATGATTGATTGATAGATTGAATGACTGGGTGAATAAATGAATGATCGACACATTTATCGATTCATCTCTCGATTTGTTTTCAACAGATTCTTACCTGAATTACCTGACTTCTCCCTTTGTCTTGTTTATAAAAGACAAGCTAACCCAAGTGGTATTTATAGCATTTCACTGCATAGTCTGCACTTCGGATTCTCAGATCGCTATAACATACGAAGAGTACATAATTTTCTTTTTCTTCTGTGGCATGATCCTGAGTGAATTCCAGCAGTACAAGCGGTCGCAACTGAAATATTTCAAGTAAGACATTTCGCTTATGATTGATTTGAAATTTTTGCAGCGTATATCTTCTTTGATAAAGAGGAATGGGCTTCAATTCTGTGACCACGAGTATACAGTAGCTCTTACGGATTTGGCGTTTTTGTTTATTCGGTTAAAAAAAGTGTTTTCAACATGAAACTTTTGGAGGTTAAGAACACCAGCCTTAAAGGAAGTCTAGTAGCTTGCGTTAGAAGATTACTGTGGATGATAGACAGATTAAGAGCTTAAGGAGATCAGAACCTTTTTTTTTCCAAAATGCAATTTATGATCACCTACTGTGGGTAAAACGAGGAAATATTGACACCTTTGAGGCCTTCGAATCCGTTGCCCCCACCTTACACTCTCATACAGAGTTCACAAGGCGTGTCGCAACTCTTCACCAGACGCTTCACGTTGGACTCTGGAGTGAAATGATGATTCAAACAGGTGAACATGGAAACCTCTTTTATTTTAACTTGCAGGGACATGTGGAACTACGTGGATGTCCTGACTCTCTTTATCTACACCCTGATTGTCTTGACGCGCATTGCGACGATTATCCGCGGAGGCGAAACTTATGATAATGACCTGTTAGAAACTGCCAACATCCTCTATGGCGTAAATACCATGTTATTGGTATTGCGCTTCTCCAGTATCCTGGAGGTTAACTCATTTGTTGGTCCATTGCAGTTGGCTTTATTTCGGATGATTCTTGACTTACTCACCATACTTATGCAGTTTGCTTTCGTGGTCGCCGCGTTTTCGTTGGCCATAACAAAGGTTTTCAAAGCAGATCTCTCCAAATTGGGTTACGGCGCCAACGATACTAGTGGTGAAACTTACTTAGCACCGTGAGTTACGTTTCTTTTCCTTGTTGAATTGTTCTTTTGTTATTGGGACAAGTCCCTAACGGGTAACTAGTATCATTTAATTTATCCGATCAAAAGCTCACTTTTACAACACGGAAGAGTAATACAAACTTTGAATAAATTCAGATTACTAGCAAACTGAAACTGCCCTGACCTGACTGGTTACCAATCCATCCTCCAACTTGAATTTCTACCTTTTGTAAAATAGCTCCGTGTTAGAGTTGTTTCAAGAAGAAAAAAAGTTCAGCAAGTAAAAAAAAACAACAACAATGTGCATGTTGGCGGTATTATCGAAACAGATCCAGAATATTGTCATGCTCTAAAAAAGTCCTTTGGAAATCTCCATAAAGAAGATGGCTTTGGTCATTAAATTGTTTTAAAGGAAAAATTATCAGTGAAATTATCTTCAGAAATCATGTATGAGAGAATTCTTTCAGGCAATGTAAAGCATTACTCCAGATGTGTACCAACATCAGCCAATGCCTTGGATCAGCCTTTCATGGTAGCACGAGTTCGGCTATCATATAATAAAGTCCTCGATAATAAATTCTCTTTATTTAAGAAATGTCATACATGCCTTTCATCTCTGTTCCTTCTACACTGTCCACTCTATATAAGCTACAAATTTGGCTCTCATTTTGTTCCCATCCAGGTATTGTGACCAAGTAGGGGCATTAGAGTGGTACGTCATTCTATCTGCTTAACCCCTCAACCCATCAGATTGACATCTTATCAGACATCAGCATCTAATTTGTCCTTACAACATCACCCCTGAATCAAACTACAAGGTCATATGTTAAAGAAAATAATCAACAAGAAGAACTGAAGCTCATGATCGCTTAACGAATTTTCTCTGCTAGTATCACAGGAACTGTTTAGAGAACAGTGTGGAGAATACGCATACTGATTTCAGTGTGTAATTGGTTAATGAAGATTAGGTTCACATCTTTACATGCGTCTTGTACAGAGATTTCAGCTCAGCCTTTGACAAAAAGGAATAAAACACGCCAGGTTAATTTTTCATCAGTTGAGGGTACATGACTTGTAAGCTGCATTTTTGTTTGGCGAGTCCCTACTGATCGTTCTTTGGTAGAATCGTTTAGGTGTATTATTCCTCAAACTAGGCTCGACTTAACCGAGAGTGAATCGCACCTGGTTATGGCCAACCCACATCGATGTTATAAATAAGTTGTTGTGAAATAGCATTTACAAATATTTGCAAATTATGATTCGCTAAACATTCTCCTAAACGTCGAGAAACAAAATTGCTGCATGGAGTAGCCAGCGCATATTGTTAGGAAAATTTAGTACTCGATGACATGCAAAGTAAGAGTATAATTTTCTGTATCGTTGGACTGAAATTTGTTAGCCGTAATGTCCTTTAGCCAATATCGATCATAACAGAAGAATAATTTCGATTTTTCAGCCTGTACAAGACATCTGGACACCTTATATGGTCAGTGTTTGGTCTAACTGACTTGAATAAGCTGAACACCAATGATAGTCTCGCCTTCCTAGTCACCAGAGGTCTATACTTGGTTTTCCTTATTTTGACCGTTATCATGCTGATCAACATGCTTGTGGCCTTACTTTCCAAGACTTATGACAATATTACGGTGAGATGAGTAACTTAGCAACACTTGAGATAATCATGCGCTGTTTGGTACAAAGCTCCCTTTTTGAATAATCAGAAAAAGAAGAAAACCAAAAACAAATCACGGAATATTTTGAAATGAGTATCGAGGTTAAATTTTTGCTGTCAGTCTAGGATCCTTTCTAGACTTGCTTTACTTCTAGTGCGGATAGGGTCAAATGCATCATGCTTTGTGATAGCTGTTACATAGGCAATACCTTTGTCATCAAGCAAGCATTAAAAATATGATAAGTACCATTTCCCCATTAGTATTTGTCTATTTTTTGTTTCTCTTCCACGTGGGTAAGCTGGGTGAATTTACGTGACTATTTACTCTCGTAACCTGTGGTACACTGCTGCTGATGGATGCATTCACACTCAGTTAGCCGTCCATAAACTTGGTTATTGATGACACGCGCTTGGATGGCTTAAGATTTCGATCCTATCTCTGAGGGGTTCTTTGGTACACCATGTATGGCCGATCTTTGATTGTTCGTTTGTTGGTTTTTTTTTTGCGTGAGTGTTAAACGAGATGTTGTTTGTTTGTGTGTGTTTTTTTGCTTGTGTGTTAAACGAAAAGGTCGCATTGACTTCATGCTTATAAACGCTTACATCCAGCTAGTGTTGCACCTTTTTAATTCAGAAATCATCAACGAAAAATAAGACGTCTGTTGTCTTTCTTGCCTGTAGAACAATGCGGAAGTTGAGTGGAAATTTTCACGCGCTGTTGTGGAAAACCAGTACAGGAATCTTCACTCTATTGTGGTACCGTTCAACCTGCTATCTGTTCCAGTAGCACTCCTTTACATTCGTTTGCATGGTAATCCTCGTGAAGAGGTAGGTGCAATTCTTATAACCTAGGAAGCTAAGTCAACATCGAGATATTTTGTCTTTTTATCAGTTCGTTTTTAGTCAGAAACCAGATATGTTTCACTATGACAGGATGCAAAAGACCGTCGAAAACAATACAAGAATTTTTATCGCGAGCGTCTGTTTCCACTGCTTACTAAAAGGTATCTCGAAAAATATGGTGGAGCGTTTCCATTGTCAGGTAGGTTGTGTAACTCTTGCGGTTTTTTTCAAAATGTTAGGTTAGCGGTTATATGAGAACTCAAAGGTCACAATTATTAGTTCGGTCTTTTCCGATGTGAGTAGCGATAAAATCACGTGTACCTCCTCAGGTGGGACAAAGAGCACTGCTAACACACCCGTTGAAATGACTATACACACGACAGCACGTATGTATCAGGCCACAATCGGCTGAATGGGCTCAAACCCATGGATAACAATGCGATCAACAAAGCTATCATTGGGAGCCGATTGTTATTCGAGTTTATTTTATGCCCTTAATTAGGCCACTGTATGATAGTAATTCTATTTAAAATGTGGAACTAAAGTATTTATCAAGCAAAGAAACATCGTCCCATAAAGAACACAACTTAAGCACTTTTGAAAATGAAGCCTAAAATTCGGGTTAAATGCTCTGTTTTCTTTTTGTCAAAAATAGATTTTAGTTTTGCTTTAGTTGATTTTCAGGCTTTATTGTTATTATTGCTTTTGTCAGTTGTGTAAACTGCGATAAATAGTCTTTTTTACATCATTTTTTATGCTTTAAAGTTACATTTGTTATGTTTTAGTTGATGACAAGATCGACCTGATAATGCAGAATTTGAAAATTTCGCCCTTAAATGTAAGTATTACACCTCCACTGATTCGGCGTTAATTGTCAGTTATACTATGCATCTGCTCTTGCAAAAAAACTTGGTCCATGAAACTGGCGGGTGGTTGAATGTCTCAATCGCTAGGACTAGATAAAGTTTCCTTTGACCCTTTGACGGTCGGTGTCTGGGTGTGAAAAAAAAATTATCAAAAATTGGTCAAAACTCATGAGATACCTTTGTGTAACATGTTTAACATGTTTTGAAATTTACTCGCTTAGGTCAACCAAAGCTTTGAAATACTCAATAAATGAATGGTTCGAACTCACTTAGCTGAAATATTTCAGTTTCTGCCAGTTTAATTGTTTGTTCTATGATCGGACAACATGGTCCTTTAGATCCAGTAATTATATGAAATACAGAACAGGACTTGTAAGGCCCTCATTTGAATTACTACGTGTATGGGTCTGAGTATCATTATGCAAGAGATGAAAAAACAGTTTATAATATCTCCTGCACTATGATATGACGTCTTCATGAGGGTATAACCTGCGATGTGTAGGATTCGGCAGCTACTACCGAATAAAGCCAGAATAGATACAAACAAGCATGGTTTCCATTTTAATTTGTTGCTTAATTTTAGGAGGAAAACAATGCCAGAAGCGTTGGGGAAGGTGATTTGGATAATTTTCCCGTACCAGAGAACAGCCAGATGCCGACTTCATCAACCAAATTTACCAAATTCACAGCACCAATCAACGATGTATAGCTCGCCTAGCAATCTAGTTCTATATCACGTCTAAAACTCTCTAACTTTAAGTTGTTTCGATTTTTATTTGGCTCCTAAAGAAATATTTTATCTTAGTTTGCTCTTCAGCTCTAGCTCATATAATTCTAAACGTAATCATGTAGTATATGTTGCCATGAACTTAATCAGGTCTCTTTCACTTAGTCTGTTTTCCGGCGAACCACAATGCGGACTTCGTCTGCTAGCTTTCAAAACGCCGTTTATTGAAAGTAGAAAGGCTAATCTCCCTTACAGTTATCTGTATCCCTTTCCCCCCTCTTGAAACTTAAAACTTATTAAAAAAATTTAAGTATTCATGTTTCGGGACGATGGGGAAGGGGAAGAAGAGGGAGAAGAGGGAGGCGATCAAAGTGTGTCATGGACTGCAAAAATGCGTAAAAGAAAAGTGGAAAATACTTGGCAATTCGAGGGTTAAAATGATTATGAGCTAGATATAAATAAAAAGTTCATCAATGTTATGAAAAACTGTTTTTTAATTTTGAAATTAGAGCCATCGATGCTGGGAACATAAATCCGACGCTTGTAAGACCCAGGCTATAATTAAATACAAACTAAATATCGATAAGCACCTCTAACTTTAGAACAGAGAGTTTCGGAAATATCAAGTCATTAATCACGTGAGCCTTATCTTTATTTTCTCGTTAAACTACGTGTATAATGATGTATAGTAGAAAGGACGCATTCATTCAGAGGAGATAAACGTGTGATCCACCACTCAATACAATTTCGTGATCTATACACTTCCGACCAATATAGGCGTCCACAAGAGACGGGCTAACGGCCTATATCATCAAGGCTTCTGTTTCTTTAGGCATGAAACGAATAAGAGTTCTTCGACCGGCCCTGAATCAAATGGGGTGCTAATCCGTGACCGCAGCTGACAATTACGTTAGCGTTTCACCCTCCACTCCGCTATTGCAGATATATCTCAGGAATACCATGTTTTGCCCATAAGTTATCATCCTCTTAATGAAAACTTCCGCGTCAACTTGTAAATAAACTGATTAACAGACAGCAAACACGTGGATATTTAAAATTATTGAGAGCGACAAATGAAACTATTTATAGTGGAATGTGGTTCCTGATGTAGCAAATTACCTGCTGCAGCACAGTTAATTATTAATGTTCAAATTACCATCTATATTAGGAAATACGTATTCTAGTTTAATGTCTACTTTTCTTCAGTAGTTCATAGTACCTTGATATTAGATTGAGCTTTGTTCTTAAGTTAATCTTTCAAAAGTTATACACTATAAAAAACTGTAACAAAACTAGGGTTAAATAAGAAAAGAGGGTGACAAAGGTTTTAAACGCAACGCATGATTACACCAAAAATTGATAGGCGACGCGGGAATTTTTACAGCAAAGCAATGTAAGGTGAGATTTGAATTTTCCCCTTCTAGATTCGTAAAGCATGAAACATTGTTTAAATTACACGCGACGCATGGATTTTACCAACATTCATGCGTGAAACGGCACCTGGTAACCCCCCCCCTCCCTTCGATCCCCTTTGCTACCCTCAACAAAGAGAGATGACATCTACTCGATCAATTTAGAAACCCGAAACTTAAAGGCGCAAAAAATCACAAGACTTGCACATAGGCCAAGAATAGTCAGAAACATAACAAAAAAATGAATAAATGAAGAATAAAGAAATAACGAAAGAAAACGAAATATTACTTTATTCATCATTCCAAACAATTATAAATGTGCTAGTAAGATAGTTCCTGTTATCGGCCTATGTTCCTCGGTCTGAGCGGGCACATATGAAGTATTTTCCTCATAAGCAATCCGGGTGCTTTCACTTATGGTAGAACTTGTGACCGTCCGACCGTCAGCTCAAATGCTTTCGATGGAACTTTATCGAATGCCGTCCGCTGTTGCCAACATTTCGGGCTGCTTTACAACCCCGAGAGTGTTCATGCTGGCATGCGTTCTTAAAAGAAGACTATGAAGGAAATTTTGAAATGTGAAACGACTCAAAAGTGGAAGCCTTTACAATTTTTAAACATAGCAGACCAAATTGTGTAATTTGCCTGGGTTTTTACGCCGAAAAAAATTCAGAGAAAAGGAAAACAAAAGTATTGTCATGTGAAGAGCACAACCAGTTCTGAACAATAGATTGAAATCCTTCCGGGAGAAGGAAAACAACATGTTTATTTATAGATAATGATTTCATTATTGATTGGTTATAGAAGGTCTAAGGATGTTTAGGTTAGCCGTGCTGTCAATAAGATTTTGTGATCTCGTCTCAGTCTCTCGGCTGCTGTCACTAATTACACTAATTATCTGGAAAACACACTCGGGTGACACAGTATTAATTAGTTTGTTTTCTTCTTTCATCCTCTCCAAAACAGATGTCCTTGAGTCTCTTCATAAACTTTCAGTGTATCAAATCTCTCGTATTCTCAGTGAACCGCGGAACAAAGGGCATTTTGGATACCGCGCATCACTCTTTGTAAAAAGGAACGAGTGTAAGTCGCACCATGGGCTCCTTTCAAAGACGCTTTAGACTGTTCAGGTAAGTTTACCAGTCGTCTTAAAAGTACGAAAAATGTAAAAGTGATCACTATAACTTTTACTTTAATGTTTGTTTTGTTTTTTTGATTTTTTAATTGGCAAAATATAATGTGATAATGCCGTGCTGTGGATGTTCCATGGGTTACGGGTGGACCCTGAAACCTGGAGGCTGTGCATCACATGCACTGCAGGCGGCTCTTCACTGTTTAGAAAAATGATAAGTGAAAGGTATCGTAACCAAATGAGGATTCAGACACTTGAACTGTGGAAAGTAATTTCTTAAGAGCGAGACTAAGACTTAGCCGGGATTAAAAATTTGATAAAATTAAGCAAAAATAAAAAATAAAATGGAAGGAAATGAAATGCCTTCTAAGAATAATCTCATAGCTATAAACTCTGATGAAATGACCAAGGAAGCCTTATATAATAAATACCGTGATGAAAGAATTGTGATGTAAGTGTGTAGTGTGTACTGAAACTTCTTTTCGGTCGGATGGAAAAGGAAGAAAATATAATATTTCTCTATTTCTTTGCTTGGATTAAGTTTAAGGAAAATCGACAAAAACGAAGGAACGATTTAAATTTTCTTATTAATAATAATGAGCTTGGCGCAATGATGTGTTGCGTGACTTTCCTTATAAAGTCGCTCGCCGTCTAAACACGAAATTAATAAGTTATTGTTTCGTAAAGCTGTTGAGGATCGTACAACCAACGTTGACAAAGTCGCACAATAAAGATAAATAAATAAAATAAAAATGGTTTAGCACAGAGACTGTGAATAAGGTTGCATTAAAACAATTGTAAAGGTATCTACTCAGCCTGTCACGTATTTGAGCGTGGTTGATTCAAAACAAAAAAAGCATTTTGTCATTTAAGACCAGTATCAATTTTCTGACTGATTTTAGAATTCACGATCTGGGCACATGCTCATGTAAAATGTAACTGTTGTAGACCTTATGAGGTATTTCTTGGAGTAACTCCTGATGTACTAGGTAGCCTGCGTGACGAGTGCGTTTCACGTGCTTGTCACGCGTGTGACATGCTCAGTAGAGAATTTGCAAGCCAAGCTTTCAAAGGCAAGCGAGCTCTGTGCATGGGATACGAACAACGTGATTTAGGGAAGTACAAGAGCAGATCGAAACGCGCTGTTCTCTGAACAGTGCGGAGTTATTCACGAGGAGAAACTTAGTGAGACTCTTAAATTTACAGGGAATCGAGCGAAGAGGACACAGAAAGCCGCGGCTTGAACGCTATAAGGTTTGTAATTTTAAATTTGTTGACAAAAACATTCATCCGATTGATATCGGTTTTGTACAATCAGCTAATCATTTGTTTACTTTCTCCTCCAGCTCCACAATGTCTGTCTCTGATAACGATTCAGATGTCAGCGAAGACGGAATTTCGATGAAGATCGACTCGAAAGGGAGCAAAGATTGCAACGTAAGTAATAAAATGAGACACACATCAGTAGCTAAATGTTACATGAGGTCTCAGTGTTTTCAATATTAAACATTCATTTAAGTACAGAAACCCATCGCTTGTCCTTTAATAGAGATATTTTAAGGCATAGTCAATTACTTCTGTTAATCTTACTTCATCGGGAATTATGATTGACTGAAAAGCACACTTCATATCCCAAGACTAACTTCCAATCATATCGTACTTCAATTTCATGAGGTAAACCATTCAAATATCGTTATAATGTGGTAGGCTAAGTTCTCCAGTCAACGTTTTATGTACCCATTACGTAAGTGAGTTTTCTTTGGCTAGGTGTCAAAGGGACGAATTTACTTGTGTGAAATAAAATCCAGCAAACCTGTTGAGCCTTTGTCTAGACAGTTAATTTTGGGGGTGTGTTGGAGGTGTGGTATTGTGCAATAATGTTAATTGTGTACAAAGTACGGCTGGAACTTTTTTCAATTTTTTCTGATTACTTTAATGTTTGCTTAATCCCATATTTCTAATTTATATAAAACTTGAAATAATATATTGTTTACATGCTATTCCCTGTTATTTGTATTTGGATTAATTTTTCCAGGAGATTTTCTCAATTGTTGTGTTTGAAATAACACTAAGTAAATTGCTCTAAAGAAATGAGGCATTTTCATATTGAAGTCTTATAAAAAAATTTCTCAATGGCATATAATGTTCAAAGTTTATGCTTTAAGTGATAATTCTTTATTTTATTTATTGTACTTGTATTTATTTACCTAATTGTGTGCATATCTGAGTTGGTAGTATTAATATTAAGCCCAGAGAAATAAACCAACTCCTAAAAGAAGTGGATAAAACACACTTGAAAACCAAACAAAAATTTAGAAAGAATGTTGTAGATTATGTTACATAGTAGTGGCTAATATTATAGTATAGTGACTATCAGTAATAGAGTCTGGCTCTAATTTTGTCTCAACAGACATTTGCAACACCTGCGGAATTTGTCAAGCGTTGTGGTGGCTCAAGAGTTATAGAAAAGGTCCTGATAGCCAATAACGGCATTGCAGCTGTGAAATGTATGAGGTCTTGTAGACGCTGGGCTTATGAACTGTTTGGTAATGAGAAAGCTATACGTTTTGTTGCAATGGTCACCCCAGAAGATCTACGGGTGAGCAGCTTTGAAAATTCTACTGTTCTTAACTCTTTATATTCTTGATGATATGGTTTTTAAGTGAACTGGTAATCTGCCTCGTTTCTCACAAAAATATCACAGTATATCTCCCATTTATTTCCACCAGATATAAAATTGTGTTCAGAATGTTATAGTGCCTACTCAATTTGCTATAAAAAAAGATGACCATGCATTTAGATTAGTTGGATGTTCATGTTTTAAAGTTGATCTGAATGTTTGAAGTTAATCTTTTTTATTCGTGGGGACATATAACTCATTATTAAGAAAATCAAGAATTTACTTTGAAGTACAAATGACTTTCAGGCTAATGCAGAGTACATCAAGATGGCTGATCAGTATGTACCAGTACCTGGTGGAACAAACAATCACAACTATGCTAATGTTGAACTGATTCTGGATATTGCAAAGAGAATTCCTGTGCAGGTTTGTTCTTTTCACCTGAAGCTGCTATGTACCTGTACCTAAAATTTTAGTATGCCTTAGGCAATGCCATATTTTACTATACTATGCCTGTTGGACAAAGAATATGATCAATTGTGGAGTCAAAATATTTGCCAGTTATGGTTACTTTCCCACTCACTGCAATTTAAATAAATAATGTTACTGATTTTGATGTTCCTTAACAAAAGATTCAAAGTTTGCATTACTTGTTGAACATCTCTAGAGTCAATATCTCACCCACTGATTTGATCTGTTTCTTTAACAAAAGATTCAAAATCTGCATTATTTGTTGAAAATCTCCAGTATCAACATCTCACCCACTGAGATTATCTGTTGATTCAAACTTCAGAGTCAAATTGTTTTTCAATCAACAAGGATGAAAGTAAAATAATCTTTGTTTCCTTGTGGTAAACATATTTATAGCACTGAAATGTGACTACTGTGAAGCACTTGAGCCTAGTTTTAATGAAAGACAAACAAATGCCTGAAAGATAAACCAGAAGCAGCAGGAAATGCCATTGCCCCCACCTCCAAAATGAGACTGCAAAGTTTTGTTAATTTTCCAGGCAGTTTGGGCTGGATGGGGTCATGCCTCTGAAAATCCAAAACTACCCGACCTTCTTTCAAAGCATGGAATCACTTTTATTGGTAAGTATACTTTTCTTTGCCTATACATATGGAAGCAGTCTTGTATCAGCAAATGTGTGTTGTCATGCCCTGGTGTAAATTGACAGTGCACTAACAGGATTGTAGATAAGAGTCAGCAGCCAGCAAAGTTTCGCTGGCTACTTTCATTGCTTCAAAAGCCCATACAGAGATGATGTTTATCAGGTCTAAACTTGGGCTCAATAAAAATATAAATTTACACTGCCTATCTTTTCTGAAAACATAAAAAGACTTCTGACTCAAGGTTAGTTTAAAAATGCTCTGATGGGGACTGTCTTTTTGACAAATCTTGCTGTGGTGGCAGGGAAAGTGTGAACAATATGACATTTTGTCCGCCATATTGGATTTTGATACCCACAACTGTTTACCTTTAAAAAAGCTCCGGCTGCTCAAAACCTTAAAGAAAACCCTGACTAATCAGTATGCATTATTCATGAAGGATTGCCTTTTTCTTTGTAAATAAAGTGAACCTCTGATAAATTCCTTATTCAGGCCCTCCAGCTTCAGCCATGTGGGCTCTTGGTGACAAAATTGCATCAACCATAGTTGCTCAGACAGTTGGTGTACCTACTCTACCTTGGAGCGGAACAGGTGGTTAATTGTTTGACTGCTCTAACTGTGTCTCTCGACTGAAATTTCTCTTGATAATTCTTGGAATATATGGTGATATTCCTCAATTTTCAAACTTTGTCTGATTTGATGCAAGTCTTAAGTGAATACTTGGAGCAGTGTTAGGTAGTGTTTTTTTGTTAACTTAAGAAAAGAAAAAATCACCCGTTCAAGAGAACACCGTATTTAGGTTTATGATAAATGTATCATTACATACATTTATATAAAATTTACACAGAATGATAATGTTTGGCCTTGGATACCATATCACTTTTTAAACACTCAGATTTTCTCAAGCCTTCCTTTGACTGGAAAATTGTTTTTTTCTACAGTCACTGTCCAGAAAAATGTCTAGGCATGCTCTCATCCCAAATAAAGAATACTTCTGACATCATTTTATGTTGAGTTGTTTTTCATTTACTAAATGTACTCTGTTTTAGGTCTTAAACTTGACAAGTCATCTAAAGACTTTGTTGATGGAAAAGTTGTAGGAGTCTCACATGACTTGTACATGAAAGGCTGTGTGCAGGATGTCAGTCAGGGAATCAAATATGCTAGAGATATTGGTTACCCTGTGATGATCAAAGCCTCTGAAGGTGGGGGTGGTAAAGGAATCCGCAAAGCCTCAAGTGACGATGAGTTTACAAACTTCTTTAGACAGGTACAGTGTATGTGTTCACTATGCCCTTTAATAGAGAAGCTTATGTTATTTTCCAATGGCAGTTTTGAAATATAATTGTATAAAACCCTGATTGATCAAACCACAATGAAATAACTATTTGTACTTGTTTTGAAACCTGAAAAAGCATAATACATAATTATAACAATAATGTTAAATGGTATTTACTTGCATCATGGATGAATTTAGGTTATGTGTGTTATTATAATTACAGGATCAATTAAATTATGAAAAATGATAATACTTTTCTCTAATTTTTTTCCCAGGTTCAAACTGAAGTACCTGGTTCTCCTGTGTTTGTTATGAAGCTTGCAAAAAAGTAAGTATTAGTATTAAATAATTAATACATCCTATATGAATGAAAGTACCAGTTATATGACTTACTCAGGATGAACTATTTTTCTTGTACTGTGATAAAAATCTTTGTAAAATACTATTTTAGTGCCAGGCACTTAGAGGTCCAGCTATTGGCTGATGAGCATGGCAATGCAATGTCCATTTTTGGACGAGATTGTTCAGTGCAACGAAGACATCAAAAGATAATAGAAGAAGCGCCTGCAGCTATTGCTAAACCTGATGTTTTCAGAAAGATGGAAGAGGTATTATTGAAAGACTTGATTTGTGTACCAATAAGATTGAAACAAGCTTAACATTATAAAGAGATAACTAAAAGACAGTGTTTTAATGCAAATACAAGCTGTGAATGTTTCTAATTTACTGTGCATCAAATTATTATACCAGCTGGCCTGAATTCAAAGAAAATCTACTTAAAAAAGTTTTCATTGGCTTTTTCCTAAATTTGACTGGATTGGTAGTGTGTCAGGCATATCATTAGTTTTCTTTAAAAACCTAAAATACATTGCTACTGGGGTAAGGGCTGGTACAGTCCATTTTCACAAAACTGAATCTGTAGGTATTTTTCTGCCAAATTGTAGTTTTAAGTAAAGATTACTAGTAAGTGGTACTCATTATTTAGGTTTAAATGAGCCCTGATTTTCTATGTTATCAGAATGCTGTTAAGCTTGGTCGTCTTGTGGGTTATGTCAGTGCTGGAACAGTCGAATATCTCTACCATCCTGAGGATCACACTTTTCATTTTCTGGAACTGAACCCTCGGTTACAGGTACATGTAGTTCAAAGTCAAGACTAATCGTATATTGACTGGCATCCTTATGATATAATTTGCCCGCCTCTGCAAAACTGAAATCAGAGGATTCATTTGAAATATGGTTCTGTATCATAACCAAATGATGGGGTATTTCATTACATTTTCACTATTGTCTTTTTTTTCAGGTTGAACATCCCTGCACTGAAATGGTTTCTGACATAAACCTTCCTGCAGCCCAGCTTCAGGTACACCCAACAACTATTAGTCCAAGTTATGTAATTTTCCTCACTGAGCAGGTTTGATTTTTGGGTTGAGGCTGTGCAATTTTTCAGCAGACCAGTAAACCAGGCATATGTTTGGCTTGACAATAAAAATTTTCACTTTTAATACAGTATAACCAAAAACAATATTAAATGAAGAAGAAAAGAAAAGAAACAAATAATTTAAAGACAAAAAAACAAAATGATACAGCCCCCACAAAATGGGCTGCAATGGAATTTCAGTGGTGTTTACATCACTTACATGTACATGTATATAAGTTTGTCAGTGGTAAGGGGCACATAGGAATGTCTATCTTTAGTTAATGATCATACAAAATGTGAATCCTGCAAAACAAATGGCATCATAATAACTTGTTGAGGAAGGTAAAGTAGAAATAATTTCTGCAGTAGTTCCCCATGTACTTTTTGTTCTGTCTTGCAGGTGGCAATGGGGATTCCTCTGTATAACATTAAGGATGTCAGGACAATGTACGGTTTGGATCCCTTTGGAAAGGAGCCCATAGACTTTGACAAGTAAGCTGTTCGAATGTTCTGAATTCTGTTCAAATAATTATTATCATAATGATAAAATAAGTGGCAACTGATTTTCACTGGGGGAGCTTTTTTGACATTGCTGATCCCTGCAGCATCAAGGATTCTGGTCACATTGACAACTTGTATCGTGTTTTATGGCTTCAGCTTGCCAATAAGTTTTTTTTTAAGATCATGGTGGAGCATCACACTGCAAAATCTAAGATTCTTTGGTTTGATCACTACACACAGATGTTTTTCCTTGATTAACTTTTTCTTCAGTATTGACAAATATAATTATGTAAACTATATATTAGACTATATACAACACAATGGAAAATGGATTTGACTCATTAATTAAATAAAATTATTTGAAATCCTTTTCCAGGCCGCAGAACCCTCCTAAACCAAGGGGACATGTTATTGCAACTCGAATTACCTCTGAGAATCCAGATGAGGTAACTTAGTAATATTGACTTCTACAAGTAATCCAAATAATACACACTGACAATTGCTTTTTGTAACACAGCCAATTTCCTCAACCCTAATGCCAGATGTTTAAGAATTGCAGCTCTCTATAGCCTAGTCTCAACATTTATTATTATGTCTTAATAGAATTATGAGTCGACAATAAGGTTTACATTAACTTGAATGGAGCTTTCAAATAATCCCTCTGGTTGGCTAAAAACTAAATTATGCAGGGATACACGAAATGAAAAACTGTTCAATAGTTGTGGGTCTTAGTATATTTGTAACAAACGCTGATGTCGAACTTTCTATCAGTAAGGTATTCTGACCATTTCCTTAATGTTTGCAGGGATTTAAACCAAGTAGTGGCACAGTAACAGAGTTGACATTTCGCAGTATGAAAAATGTTTGGGGGTACTTCAGTGTAGGAGCTGATGGTGGCCTGCATGAATTTGCAGACTCTCAGTTTGGGCATTGCTTTGCTTGGGGAGAGGACAGAGATGCAGCAAGGAGGTGAGGAAGTTCATTCATGTCATTGTTGCGAATTAAAGAAGACATTTAGTAATAAATATATAAAAAACCACTTAAAATAGAAGCTTTCTGTATATGTCTGTTAATATGTAACTGTCTATTGGAAAAATGCTATGGAGAATACAGTCTGTAATGGCCCATATGGCAAAAATCGGCAAAACCCCAGCATCAGCCCTACGCAGGTTGTTGGTGATATCATTATCTCATCTCATTTGTGTTCCAAAGGATTTGAAACTTCAGCTATACCTTTATTCCCCATTTTTTCCTAATTGTTTAAGTTTTTAATGATCATCTGTGTATTTGTTCTGTTTTGTTTATTTTGATTGTGTTGGTTTTTAATAACTGCTGGAACAATCTGGACAATTCAGCCAACCATGTAGCAACTGGACATAATTTTCCTAAAATTAATGCTCAGTAATCATTATTAGTCACTAGGCAATTAAAATAATAAGTTAAATAATTATTTTTCAGAAATATGGTGTTGGCCTTAAAGGAAATCTCTATTCGTGGTGATTTCCGAACCACTGTTGAATACCTGATCCAGTTGCTGGAACATGAATATTTTTCAACAAACATAATAGACACTGGCTGGTTGGACTATTTAATTGCCAAGCAGGTTCAGGTTAGTAATCACCTGTCACAGTACTCATTTAAAAATTTGTTCCTCTTTCACTTTCAGTTCATCTATCAGCTCATCCTCTGTTGGATTTTCAGAAATATTTAATTTAATGTTTAATTATTTAAGTAGTATGTGGGTCCTGGGTAATGTAGCAACATTCACTTCAGCTAGCCCCAGGCAGACTACTACTCCCCCAGTGGCAAATCCTGCAATCAAACCCCCATTTCTGGCCTGCATGTGAGTGACCATGGTTTCAGGTGGGAGAGAAGGGCTTTTGGCTTGGAGGCAACCACGACTCTGAACTCTCAATGGTCGTAAGGCAGCCCTCACGACAACGAGATCTAAAAAGAAAAGGTGGTAGTGGGGCTTGGAGGAGGGTGAATAATCTAGTAGGCACCCCTCAAAACCGGTTTTGTAGATGGGGCCAAAATCCTAAGGAAGCACTTGAAAGCAACCGGGCTACAAAAACCGGTCAAGAACGCTCAAAAACAACTGCTAATGAACCGCTCAAGTACGCTTAAAAGCAACCGCAACGAAAGTGCTCAGGAAAGTTTTGATCATGTAGACAAAAGCAAGCAAGAACGCTTAAAGACGCGAATTAAATGCTTAGAAACGCTTAAAGACAACCGGCACGAAAACGCTTGAACGCCACAGGAAAACCTTCATAAGACCGCTCTGAAAATAGCCTAAACCGCCACAAAATTGCTCAGGAGAGCTTGAAAACCTTTCTAAAACGCTTTAAAACGCTTAATTGAGATAATTGACACCAAACCGTTCCGAGAACGTCCGAAAACAGCCTCCGTAAAAATGTAAGTGTAAGCTTGAAAACAATGGTTACAAAACCTGCTCTGGAACTCCAGAAATCCTCTCAGGAACAATTGAAAACAACTGCTTCAAAAGCTACCCAAGAGTAAATGAAACAACCGCTATAAAACCGTTCAGGACTACTGATAAACAGCGACTTGTTGGAGAATAGAACTGCAACAAGGTGTTGGTCTTATCTGACATGCGCGAATAGGTCAAGTTTGGCCTGGCGCGCGCTCATTTTCCCGCGCAAAATTTAAATGGAATATAAACAAACATACATCATAACATAGCATGAAGAGTTAACGCTCGAAACGTCAGCTTTTTTACCCTTTACGGTGGCTAATTTACGTTTTCAACCCAGTTGTTAACACTAAATTACCTGCTATACTCTCCCACCGACGCAGCACCACAGTTTCTTTAGAAACTTACCCCTTTATACATTATAACATAGCTAGTAAATTTGTGTAATCAAATTCAATTGCGCGAGCGTGCTTCATATTCCTATTGTGCACGCCCATGACGTCAGCAAACAAATCCCTCGAGGAAAAAAAATTTCCGTCAGGTTGAAAATATTATAAAACGATTGGTTCATACGTCAGCGTGCGTTCATAGAGATATGAAGCACTTGGGAAGTTTGGAGAGCACGAAAGATGCGTAAGAGTTGCTCGAGGTGTAGCCTCGAGCAACTCTAGCTTCTTGAGTGAACCAATTGTTAAGCGTCACGAAAAGTTTTCGGGGAAGAAAATGGAACATTCACGTTTTGAAAGGAAACGAAAGTGACGAAAGAAAAAATTGAGACTCTTTCAGATTATGAATGTCCTGCTGATAAGCAATTTTGTTTTGAGCTTTATTAAGGAATTTGAAGGATTGAACAGCTTTAAGGCAATTTTTTTGTTTCTTTCTTAACAGACCGAACGTCCTGATGCAATCCTGAGTGTTATCTGTGGAGCCGTTCAGGTGGCAGAAGCAGGTATAAGCAAGAGATATGTGAACTTCAAGTCTGCTTTGGAAAGGTAAAGCACTCTTATAATGATTGAGATACCTTGCTAGTTTACGTCTGTTGGAAGTGACCGGCTCTTATTATTGAGACGTAACGAAAAAATTCATTAAGCGAGGATAGTAAATTAGGCCTTTTCTTTGTTTCTTTACCTCAGGGGACAGATTCTTACAACTGATTCTTTGTTAAACACTGAAGATGTTGAACTGATTAATGACGGAATTAAGTACTGCCTAAAAGTGAGTGAAATTTTGATCTAAAATTGTTTTTTACGTAATCGTTTCTGATAATTGCCTGTAGCTTAGTTTGTTTTTTCCCTTCATTTTTTAAAAACTTCCAAGGTATGGAAATCTGGGGCAAACACATTTTTCTTGGTCATGAACAACTCCTGGACAGAAGTGGAAGCTCACAGGTATGTATTGTTTAGCTAGCTAACATCGATGTTTTGAAATCGGAAATCTCTGGCTTTTTATGCTAACACTGTTCATAAGTTTTGAAACCAATTTTACTGCCATGTTGTCGTTTTTGTGAGAAAAGCGTTTTATCTGAATTTGCTGACTGTGCTCAACAGCAAATTTGTAGCTTATTCAATAAAAGCCTCAGCCTCTGTACTGTTTCATTTTATATTGTACCAAATTGTTATTATTATCATTATATTGTTATTATTGCAATCATTATCAATAGTCTATAGAGGCTTATTCTATAAATTATCGGTGCTCTTACAGGAATGCATAAAACTAACAAGGGCATTTGATCTTTGTAAAATAAATTCCTTTTTTTTAATTTTTACGACATTGACCAATTATTCTTCGATGTGGAGGTAACTATCCACCACTTTCACCAACACCGAGTTTAATGATTGTTTTAGTATACCACAGAGAAACCGACAAAAAAATTAGTTAATTTCTGTCAATATTCCGAAGAATAGTTGGAAATTAAATTATCGACGCGCGATTTTGTATCTTCGTCTTCGGAGGTGAACAGTATTCGCTAATCACTTGCAATCTAGCCAATCGGCGCGAGCGAAAAGCACTATTTACTTATAGAGTATATACTGAAATGGCTTAATATCAACATACTTTGTTATTATATTGATTTTGTTTTTTCAGTCATACGAAAACTCTGGTTTTGTTCTTTGAACTCGTTACCTTTGAATTTATCTTTGTTTTGCAGGATGAGTGATGGTGGATTACTTTTGTCCTGGAATGACAGCAGTCACACCACTTACATGAAGGAAGAAGTTGACAGGTTGGTTGAAAATTAAATCTTGACTGATAAGTGAAAGCTAAAAATTCCACACGACTGTGTGCGTGATTATCTTCGTAATTTATGTCCATTTAAAGATGAATTTTTTTCTCCTCGCTTTTGAGAGGAAATTCTTTTGCTTGTAATGCTTTAAGAGGTGTCTACTTTATTGATGCTCTTTCCCTCTGTTGCAACAGTTATCGATTGACAATAAGTGGAAAAACTTGCATCTTCCAGAAAGAGAACGATCCAACAGTTCTGAGGTAATAGCATCTTTCAATTTTGACCTTATTCTCGTTTCTACTATTTATACTGTGTCTAAATTATGTGTAATGAATGATTAATATTTTGAGTGAACTGTTGTTGGAAAATGAATTATTGGAATCGTGTTCAACTACGATGAATAAAAATGAATAAAGAAAGTAAACGTGTACAAGTTTCTCAGTTTCTACTTACCTATCCTTTTTCAGACTCAAGCCCTCATCTTTAAACGCCTGGTATATGTAAACTTACAAAATTAGAATATACAGCAGAATTTATTTTGGTCTTCACGAGGTGTATACAGCAACGGTTATCGTGTATTGTGAAGTATACCCAATGTTACATTCTAATCTTTTTTTCTTTAAACAATCAGGTCCCCTTCCGCTGGAAAGCTTATTCAGTTTGTTGTTGAAGACGGAGGTCACGTGTTTCAGGGAGAGTCTTTTGCTGAGATTGAAGTGAGTTGAATGGTGGTTCTTCAGCTGTAAGTTCCTACCTATAGGAATCTTAGGTTGTGTTCGTATATATTCAGGTTTTATTTGGCGAGTGTTTTGATGAAGTTGGTTTATAGGTTTATCTCTGAAGGACCAAAAAAAAATGACATTGCCTTATATTTCAAATATTTCAATTGGTTTTATCAACTGAGTTGATGATGTAAATTGGTCACCGTAAAGAGTTTCTAAAGCTGACGTTTCGATGAGGGGTAAGCGCTCGAAAAGTCAGCTTTTGAAACTCTCTATGGAGGCCAATTTGCATTATCAACTCAGTTACCGACTTAGCGCCATAGATTTTTTAGAAACGTACCTCTTTATTAGAAAAGCCTCAGTTGCAAAGTTTAGATACATTTTTGCCATATTTTCATTGCTATTTTTACTGGGTTTCAGGTTATGAAGATGGTTATGCCTCTTACCGTCAGTGAGAGTGGTTGGTGAGTGAGATGTTTTTGTATTTCAGTTTGGTCTCCAAAATATTTTAATCAACAATTTGTTGCTTTTGACGCCAAATGGTAACAATAATTAGCGAAAGCATAAGGTTGTCTAGTGCCTTTTGCGTGTTCGTGATATTCCTTTTCGGATTTCTATCAAAGTAGTTTTTTTGATGTAAAATTTATTATGGTTTTTTTTTTTACTAGTGTGCACTATATGAAGAATGCTGGAGCTGTGCTGGAGCCTGGTTCTATCGTGGCCAAGTTGGAACTGGATGATCCAAGTAAAGTTACACAGGTAATATAAACGATGACGATATCTTATGCAACCATTAGTCGCTGAAAGGTGCTAGTACAACAGGAAGACCAAGCAGAAGTAGGCCAGAGTTAACGATCCGGTGCAACTTGATCAGGCTAAATGGATTTTCTTTTGAAAAGACACGGGTGAACGCGTGTACCACTTTGCTATAGCGACAAATTTATGTTTCTTAGTGTTGAACTTTAGGGCATGTTATCATTTTAGGGCATGTTATCATATTACAATGTGCAAGGGTTTTTTGTTTTTCTATTCGTCCAGGCGCAGCCCTATACTGGTCAGTTTCCTGAAACTTGTGGAGCCAAACTTAAAGGAAGTAAATTGCACCAGGTGAAAAAAAGAACATGTCTTTTCAGTTTTTTTTTCCTCAGAGAGGCGTTTATTTAAAATCTTGTGCCGGCTAATTTAATCGCTTTTGATCAAACAAAATATAAAGTGATAGTTAAAGAAACAAACCAAAACATCACCGCAATGGTCTTTGTTGTTTGGCGTGTGTGGGAGAAAACCTGATAAAACTTTTGCTAATCATATATTCGTAAAAGGGCTGTCTCAGATGAAATGGCATCGTTTATTTCAGTTGCAAAACTTTTTTTGCAGATTTTCCACACGGCTCGTGAGAACCTTCAGAACGTCATGGATGGTTACTGTGTTGGGGAACCATATTTTTCTCAAAGGTTACAAGAAAATGTTAACACGCTCATGCAAGCCTTGAAAGATCCTGCATTACCTCTATTAGAATTACAAGTAAGCTACTTGTTATCATTTAACTTTAACAAGGTTGAGTCATATCACCATTGAGTTTTTGAAGTGATATATCTTGGTTAGGAATAAGAGAGAATGTTTTGATTCTTTGCAGGATATGATCTCATCCATTTCGGGCCGTATTCCAGGAACTGTTGAAGAGGCCATAAGAAAGCATCTTACAAGCTATGCCAGTAATATCACATCCGTGTTGAGTCAGTTTCCAAGTCAGCAGGTAAGCTTCGGAGGAAGAAGATACAGTAAGGATGACCGTGCTGTACTGGGCAACATGATAACCACGAGGGCCCCTCATTCATAAAAATTTTTATCTTTTGAATCAGAAGCAGATTTACGGTTCCCTTTTGTTTAGACAAAACGTGAGACACTGTTGATGTTGATAAAGTGCGTTCTTGAAAAATGTATTAAAACACTTGTGAATAATATTTGAGAAGCCACGTTACTATTCAGCTCCAAATATGAACAAGGTAAACATACCTGTAAGCAACTGCAAGTATTTTACATTTCTTTCCTTTACCATAAACATTCCGAGAATTGGTGGCAACTGTGAATGCAGAAATAAACAAGATAACTGCCTGAAATTTGTTCAACATTTATCACTGATTAATAAGAACTGAATTTATTGCAGATTGCCAATGTTGTTGATGCTCATGCAGCAACTTTGACTAAAAGAACTGAGCGGGATGCTTTCTTTTTGAACACGCAGAATATTGTGCAACTTGTCCAGAGGTAAAAATTTCATTTTCGGTGACCTTTTTCCTTTTTTTTTTTTTTCGGCTTTACACAGTCCTGCTTACAACGTAACTCAACGTGTTGATAGTCTTTCACCTGCTTTGCTGTTTTCTTTTGTGAATATGTAATTCAATCCCTCACTCCAAGCTGTCATTGTTTGAATGCGATGAGATCTTTGTTTCAAGCATATTTCGAGGTTGCTTTCTCAAAGTTCCAGAAGTTAAAGGATAGATAGAACGTGTGATGTCATTACTCGCTTCGAGTCGACTATTGCTGTTGTTATGTACACATGTAGGTTCGCGAAAGATATAGAATGAGTAAGAGTAGCATGCAATCAAGCAGTCGATGGGAAGGAGGCTTCTTTATTCCCTTGTTTTCTCGGCTCTCTTCTCCTGGCCGAGAATAAAACAATAAAAACAACTTACAACAGTTGCGTTTCATGTTCTTACGTATTGTTGTCCTATGTTGAATTAATTTTCCATCAGGTATCGCAATGGCATTCGTGGACATATGAAGGCAGTGGTTTTGAGTCTGTTAAGGCAGTATTTGCAGCATGAAGTAGTTTTTAATGAAGGTACTGTCTACAAAGAGTGAAGTTCTGAGCGTCCAAACAGATATTCATGATTTTAAGAATTAAATTAAGAGTCATTCTTTCTCCTTCCTGTTCCACCTCTCATCCGTATTTACTCCTGGTGCTTTCTTTGACCAAAGACATTTGGAAAAAAATTGCGAAGCGTTACTTTTATTAACGATTATTTAACTCTGCAGGAAACTTTGAAAAGTGTGTCACACTGTTACGTGACAAACACAAGTCGCAAGATCTCTCTCCGGTTGTGCAAAGTATTTTCTCTCATGCTTCTGTAGCCAAGAAAAACCTGCTGACGATAATGCTAATAGTAAGTAAATAATCTTACTCTATTTCTGGTCATTCTGACAGGAATGATTTTCTCTAGTCGTTGACATTTGTGGTAGTTTTCCTTTTCCGTCAGGGTTTGTTGGATGACTATAGTACATATCTACTTGGTTTGAGTCAACTCAGGTGCTAAACTCTTTGAATAACTTCGATCTTCTAAGGATCAGTTGTGCGGACGGCAAACTGGTTTGTCAGATGAACTGAACCATCTGCTTCAAGAACTTACCACCCTCAACAGACATGATAATGCCAAGGTTGCACTTAGAGCAAGACAGGTTTGTTCGACTATTGTTACGGTTGTTACTTTAAAGGGTTAGCGCGGCACTGAGGTATTACTTGGGGCTTTTGCGCTCAAAGTGATTGCCATTTATTTGCATAACATCAAATGAAACACCTTTGGAGGTTCTTTTAAAATGAGAATTCGTGCTTACGTTTGGGTGAAATGCGATTAGTCTCGTAAAAGCAAATTGTACTGCGCTTCTGAGGCTCTTTCGATCTTAATGAATTTCCTGCTACCTTAGTTTGGTCCGTTTCAATCTTCTTTTTTCTTAGGCCTTGCTAGCTTCACAGCAACCATCCTATGAACTTCGTCACAATCAGATTGAATCACTGTTTCTTTCCGGCATTGACATGTACGGTAACCAGATGTCTTCCGACAGTTTTCAGGTATAGTTAAAGGTTGCTCTCCTACAAAATCCCCATTCGTACTTAACTAGGAAACACCTTCGATGGTTTGGTTTCTCTCCATTTTTATGGTGAAAACCGACATGAGTTGGGAATCTTATGATGCGCGTTACTTTTGTGAAGAAAAGGTAATGCATCTATGATATTCGAATAACCTTCCATTCTCCCAATTGCTGATAGGACGCCACTACACTCCCTATAAGTGTTGTTTTATCCCCTCCCCCCCCTCCCCCCCCATATGATGGCCCTCGAAAAGAACAGCATTCGTCCCAGTATCAACAGAACTCACCTTCTGTTACCCTAACTCTTCTGTTACGTACAGCATCTTGCCAAACCCCACGGGGCCGATGCATAGTAAACGAAAAAGATGACCGCAAGCATGATAACAACTGTATCTTTATGGGAAATGATGAGTAAATATTTAAAATGTGCTTTTGTCACAGAAATTGATTCTGTCAGAGAACGCTATCTTTGACATTCTTCCAAGCTTCTTCTACCACTCCAGTGAAGCCGTGAAAAGGGCAGCTTTGGAGGTATGGTGATGTAATGATGATATCCACGCATATAATACTTCAAATATTTTTGTGCGCGTGTGATTAGTCTAAACGCATCACGTGATTAAACAGGGGGAATATCCGTGGATAAACCCCAGTGATATTCCCTAATTTTAAAACCTTACATCCATACGGAAAACTCCTTGTTTAAGTGCGTTGTCTGGTTTTTACAAAAGAAGGGAAAGGGTCTTTTGTTCATAAAGTATCATTAGAGAACACTGACAGCAAGTCGTTCGGAAACATTTCTCGCGCACCTTGAACAATATTTGATGGATGATGAACACATTTGCCTCCATTTGGCGTGAAAATATGCTCGCGCATTTGTCCATGGACGTTATCTGTTTATCGAAGCTCACAGTTTTATCGAGCTTCGCTCTTGGAAAACTGTTCGTACGTTGGAACGGGTAGTGTCAGCAGACAAAAAGCCGTGCTTATTTTCGCGCCAAATGGAGGCAACTGTTTATATATTTAATTTTTTCATCACTCTGTTGTATCGCTGACGAGGGATATGTCCTTACACCATGTTCTGTAGGTTTACATCAGACGTAGTTACCAAGCCTATGAACTCACCACATTGTACCACGAGAAGGTAAATAGTTATATAACTTTAAAGATCTCTCAGTTATTCCTTAGCTTTATTCAATCACTACACCAACCGACGTTGTTGGTAACGTTGGCTTAAGGAGTTTCCTTTAAGACAAATTCATCAGAATGGCCTTTCTTTAAAACAATAATAACAATTTGTAGCATGTATTATGGTCTTCACAATCAGATATTGTTCGTTTTTTGAGGGAGAGTTCCTTTGTCAATAATGAGTATTGTATTTGAGTCTTATTGTACCTGCCTTGTGATCGGGGATGGAACCCAATTAGAGAAACTGAGCTTGAGGCAGTACTGGGTGTGAGACAAGTCTTCTATTCTGTGGTCCTACTGACGCTTGTTCGTTTGAGTATGCTGCTCAAGAAGTTAACTTTAGAATTAGTATCTTTTCTTTCAACTTAAATGCTACTGAAGATCCTGTATCACGAGCTAAGTGGAAACAAAGATCAGAATAAGAGACGTAATCTAATATTAACTGTGAAGTCTTTTGATAACGTTTTGCTGTATTTTCTGTTTTCTCAGATCGACGAAAATGTCTTAATTGTGGAGTTCCAGTTTATTCTTCCAAGTGCACATCCAAACAGGTTTGTTGTGCTCTAACACACATTTTGACATGTCCCAGCGACTTTTACTGACTGCTTTTGTCTTGTGATTCTTAGGATGCCACAAAGAGTTCCTTCTAGTAGAACTGTTCTCGCCATGCCAAGGGTAAGGTTACATTTGTCTTAGAAAAAAGTCCTATCGAATTTTTGACTGTTTTAGCCCTGTTTCAATGTTTAATGTCGCTTTGTTTCCCTTTAGGTTCGCAGTCTTAGTGAAGATATGTATGACCTCATCAATCAGCAGCCTTTACAGCCATGCCAAAGAACCGGTGTAATGGCAGCGTTTCAGTCAATGGGTGAATTCGAAAAGTAACTTTTTCTTATATTTGTTGTCTATAAATAGGGACGGTCTTTCACCCCCTAAAGGTGCACACATCCTTACGAAGCATTTGATTTTCACCCCCGAATGTCCTTTTTCTTTTTATTTAATAGAATGTATGTACTTTCTATTAGTTTTTATTGTACTCTGCCATCGCCGCGTCCAGTCCATTTTCTTGATAAGGTCTGGGCCACTAGTATGATTTGTCAGTAATGACTAGTTGACCTTTACTGAAATAATTTTGTTCACAGAGAATTTGGAAAGGAGTACCCACAACCCCTCCGAAAACATCTTACTTGAATAAAAACAAGCAAAGACTATGTTTAAGTGTCATCTTCTTATCCTTTTCCAGGAATTTTGAGGAAATCATGAATCGTTTTGAGCCTACAACCCCAGAGCAGTTGTCCCCATCACCAATGGGAAGGAAGATGAGCTTGGATCCTGTGTTTGAAGCTGAAAATAAGCCAGCGGTAAGAATAACGTGAAGCTACGTCAATATATTTGAAATGATTTCATGGAAACGAAGAGAATTTCCTTTAGATCAATTTTCTATTAATTGTCCAATGTAACCTGGGATTGTTTGCTTTTGCTTTACTTTGCTCCGTGATTGGTCTAGAAAACTTGCCCGACTCCCTCAACAAATCAGATTCAAACCTAAAACCAATCGCGATTTTGTCATTCGCGCTTTCCTACGCTTTAGGCAGTTTGCTTGTTTTTGCTTTGAGTTTTCATTGGCTCGTTGTGATATTTTTCTCTGTTCTGATTAGCTGTTGTGATTTCTTTAGTTTAAAGGGCATGTAAACCCAAAAATACATGTTTTTCTTATACTATGTAAAAAGTGGCGTAGAAAACGAATTTGAAATTCGTTTTGTCCAATTCGACTTATTTTAGGAGAAAATCGGCATTTTCAACTGAAATTCCATTTCCGGTAAAAACAATAGCGAGAAGTCGTGACGTAAGCGGTGGAACTAAAATATTGCGCAACACATATTCCCCAGTAGAACTGGTGTGGGAGTTCGTGTAAGTAGTGGTAGTTTGGAAGATATTTTTTCGGAAGATAACAACTCGAATACCTTAAGCTTAGTACATGACAGCGATGGGGATAATCCAGAATCTTCAGGAGAGTCTGAGCCACGTTCTTAACAATATGAGCCGCGTAGCGATCCGCACGAAGATAGTACAGAACATGTCAACAGCGATGCGACCGTCTCGGAAATTCAGACTGGTATTTAATTTACTGTGTGATTTATTTGTATTTGACAAGAAAATCCAATAAAGCGGGGGTACAATCTAAAAGAATGCAACAGAAATTTTTTAAACTTGAGCTTCTGAGAGTGTTTTATATAAAATTATCAAAGGTGCGAGTGTGGAACTTGTCAACCAATGCCGACAACTCATGAAAGTGTTTGATGTACGGAAATCGGGCTATTGTGGCAAAAAGTACAGTAGCAAGGGCCTGAAACCCAGATAAGTTGTATCACTGAGCATACAGGTTTTCAGTCAATTTGCCTTGATTTCTGGGTGCTGGAGACGGCCAATTGCGCGTACAGGCAGCAGCAAGGCACAGATAATCACACCGGAAACGAGTAAGCTAAATGTTTTCTGTTTCATCTGTTTTGTTACATTTTGAGATCGATTTACTTGGGTTGTTTTTGCCATTGACTTAATAATACAGTACTAGAGCTAGTTGTTTTTCGCTTCTTTCCTGGCAGGAAATTTCGCTAAATTGCCTACAGATAGCTTGTTCGTTGGTGTTGGGAATATCTCGGCAAACACTTCAGGGTCGCTGTGCCATCTTGTGCGTTAAACAATATCCGAAACATTTTTCCAGCGAATTTGGGATCGCCTTACACTGGATTAAAACCGCCAAACCTTTGAGAGAAACAAAGGTATATGTTAATGCAGATCTTAGTTATTTATGTCTTACAGCACTGGAGGTTATGCCCGTTCTTTATGAGATACCTATGTATTGCTTTCCTTCATCTCCGAAGCATTTCCATCGATAAACAAGTTGTACCATATACATTTCCTTGTGAGGCCTTCATAATTATCCAACCCTGTTTGTGTTTACTTCGATTTAAAATACTGAAAACATAGTTTTGCAAGCTGAAATCAGGATCTTTTAAGTTGTACTCAAAATGATGAATATTGTCCTACTGACCTTTGAATGTATTTTCACTGTTGTGAAAATCGTGACACAAATTCTTCTGCTGTTTCTCTGCAGGGTTTCTCAAAGGAAGCACCAAGTGGGGCTGGCATGGATTTTCTTATAGAACATAAGGGTCGATTATGGGATCCTGTATAGAATTCTTTGCATCGAACCAACAAAATTCCAGATCACGTTATTACACACTGACATCAACGAATTCTCTTTCTTTGATACGTGTTTCGAATTCAGGCAAAGGATCAGAGGAGTCAGTGTCTTTTATGGGCTCAGCGCTGGCTCCCGAACAACTGGCTTCCCAATAATCTTTCATTAGATGAGAAAAAAGATGTTTTTAGAGAACCAATAAAGCTATCGTTGTTTGATTAACTAAACGTTTTCATGTAAATCGATTTTGTACTGTCTCCGTTGACCTCTAACTTTTGAAGAGCTCAACTTCTTTCTCAGTTCGGTCGGCCACTTCCGAATCCTCGTCGTCTACCGACTGTATGGGTCGTTTTTATACTTCCGAATAATTTGCTTCTAGTAAGGCCTGAATCTTCGGTACAGCACCAGGAAGAAGAATGACTGCTACAAACAATTTGTGAAATGGTAATATTTGCATTGTATGCCCAGTTTTGTTTAAATCAGTACAGAACTGGACGACACAACGCTTTACCATTACGAAAAAATTGAATATATTGAAGCAAACTGTAAGTAAAAAAATCATGACGAGACCGGCGAACAACGGCTGTAGAAAAGACTCCTTCGTGCCTCACGCGATTATAAAACAAGACTTTGCAGGGTCCACCCGTGACGTCACAGGAAAGATGGCGCCATTCAAGATGGCGAATGTTTCGAATTTGGAAGAGCTTTTACAAAGTGAAAATGGACTTTTGAGAAAAAACGAATGGTACCTTTGGTGTACTTGATATATTTACTAAACATCTATGTGAAAAGAAAATGAACGTTTTTTGGGTTTACATGCCCTTTAAGTTCTACGACACTCCATTTGAAATGCGCTCTAAATGAAGCGAAACTGCAGGATAACACCTTTTAGAGTAGCCAGGCACTAAAGAGTTAGGAAGAATAAAAAAAAGAAAAGAACGCAGCCCGTAACCGACAAATTTTTACAACAAAATAACCGATATTGGTGGAGAGGGACAAATGGTGGCTTTTCTCCTATAACTGCATGCGTGGTCAGGTTTTGGTTTTAGCCATGGCATATCTGTATATGTTTTACTCTTCCAGTTAGTTTAAGCGTGGAGTGTTTATCTTCTCAAACATTGTCGCTGTCTGTTTGTTGAGAAGAAGTATTTTGGTTTGTATTTTTTATTAGTTTCGAGATTGAGTGTAAGTTCCTTCCAATTACCTTGTTTGTTCAGTGATAAAGAACAAAAATTGTTATTAGAACTACAGTATTTAAGCCCATGCATGTGCAAGTGAATATTTTCAGAGTGCGAGTTTTTGTTTATATTCCTTTTTTTGTTTTGATTTTGTTTTTAGCCTGGTGCTGGAAAGGAAGAAGAACCAATTCACATTATAAACGTCGCTTTGCGAGTTGAAAAGAATTGCAAAGATGTGGAAATCTGTCGAAAGCTGGTGTATGAGTTTACACAATCCAAGGTAAGAATTGCTTTGTTTTATTTTTGTTTTATTGTTTTGTTGTTTTTTTTTGTTATATATTTTTTTTGTTTTTGTAAGGGGGGATCAAATTAACTCACTATAGAAGTGCTGCCGGAGTCTTGCCTTAAAGCACAACACAGTTGCTATAGCCAGTGGTATATAAACCCGAATCAATCGATACAGAGTCCAGCGCACTAATCATTAGGTCACGATTTCTCCTACACTTGCATTTGCTGCAGGCAGAGAGTTTCTTAAATTTACGCCAGCTTCGGCACTTCTACCCAGTTAACTTTTTACGAAATGCAGAAAAAGGGTAAAAGCAGAAGGTATTCTTTTTTGAGCCAATCATTCCACTTATCGTTTTTTGTTGTTATTATTCAGAAAGAGATTTTGAAGGACAAGGGAATCAGGAGAATCACTTACCTATTAAGTGATTGTAAGGTAATGCAATTATTCCGTGTACTCGGTATGAACATGTTTTGTGACTTGCGAGGACGGAAGGAAATATCGCATATTTATGTTGATAGCGATCGTGGTGATCTTGGTATTTCTCTTTTTTTCCGTTTTGTTTATTTTTTCCTTTTTTTTTTTTTGATAACTGTCATTGAGACAGGGTGATCACATGAATTTTTTTTACTCTAAATAAGAAAAGGAGGTCTACCATTACACTGCTTTTCCTGCACTACCGTTTGTAATGTATATAAAAAACGTCCGCCACAAGTCTGACACAAACCAGCACCATTGGCAACTTGATGCACAAACTAAAAATAGGAGAAAGAGCTCTCAATCCAAAGCACTTTGTTTGTAGTATGATAGACACAATGTTATATAGCTTGATGAATTATGGCGTATTCAGCAGGGCATGATGCCATGGTTCTTCACCTTCCGAGCTCGGGACGATGTGAGTATGCGACTGTTAAAAAAAAAAAAACGTTCTCCTGATATATGTGTTTATAGTAGGTTGATCGACATGCGAAGAGAGAGGACTTAAAGAAAGGACTTGTCAAAGATCCAGTTTGTTGGTATAGAAGAAATAACAAGGGAATGTTCAAGATGTTACCAAAAGTTCTTCTCCTTCACTTCTCCATTTTTAATGGTTTGCTTTACAGTTTTCTTTGCTAGTACTTAAAGTGAAACATTTTCCGTTTAAAGTTTGCCAAAGGAAGCTCTGTAATTAAATTCGGCTTCAGGTCGACAAAAGCACCCGGTCTGCTCTACCCATGATCCTCTCGTTGGTACCGTATTCTGAGCAACAGACCGGTATACGGAAGATTACAGGCTTGCCCCTGTGAGGGTATTGAGACTTCTTTACTTCGGCAGTAGATAGAAATCTTCTCCTAACTTGTGCCGTTGTATTTGTTTACCTTCCTTCTAGTTCGAAGAAGATTCCATTTATCGTCACTTGGAGCCAGCTCTGGCATTCCAGTTGGAGGTTAATCGTTTACGAAACTTTGACTTGGAGACGATTCCAACTACAAACCACAACATTCATTTGTACCTCGGATCAGCTAAGAAGGTATTCATTAATCTCAAAAGGTTGTTATGACCATGATTTTGTGTCTGCTTTGTGTTGGTTCATAGTGGTTGGAAACAGCTGTTACACCGCTTGATCAGTGAACAATGCAAAGGCAGGACACTTGAAGGACCCTAGCCCTTGAAAAGTCTCATTGATCTCCAATAAAATTACTTAAACCTCTTCAAGGGAATGCTTTGATGGAAGAGGATGTGAAAAAAATTATCTGTTAATTATGATTTTGAAAAATTTCCTAAGACTAATTTTGATATTGTTTGGTGTAGCATTGACATTGTAAAGATAATCTGAATGAGGTGGCAGTGTGTTAAGTTAAAAAGAAGGAATATTGTTCTGAAGCTGATGATGTCCATATTATCATATTTTGCGCAGATTTCAGCTCACTCAGAAGTCACAGACCACAGGTTCTTCATCAGAAGCATTGTGAGACATTCGGATTTCATTACCCGGGTAAGACCTTACTGACGCACTTTTTTGAGTTACCCTATAGACAGTGGTATTATGTTCCATTACGAGATGTTTTCAATATGAAGAAGTTACAACTTGCGTTTCTTTTCTCTTTAATAGGAGGCGTCATTTGAATATATGGAAAAGGAGAGCGAGATCCAACTCCTCGAGTCTTTAGATCAACTGGAAGTTTGTGTTTCAGAGACTGTAAGTCTTCTTTTGTGCATTAAATGTTTAATTTTTGCTACCAGTATCATATGCTATTAATAAACTTCCAGCAAACGGCACGATGAAATAATTCCATGGTTATTTGCTTTGCAACATCCATTTTGAAATCATAGGTGATCTCTAAAATCTGATTGGTTCCCAGTAGTGCAGTTGATTAACGAAACGCTCTATTATTTGCTCTAAATCGCATCTTTCCCCCAGCCAAGAAGAAAATAAATGGAAAACAAAACAAAAATTCAGATTTCAAGGCTCATTTAGTAGTAATACGTAGAGCAAGCTTGTTTTGTTTATTTTCTATGTAAAGTGAAATTGTCGCAGCTGATTAGGATGCAAAAGTATAACAGTGAAAAGATCAAAGCACTGGTCACTGGAAAGTTGATATTTAAAAGACCACCTCCTGAAGTGGTCAGTTTTACAGAATAGCAACAATTTTCTTGTCTCAAATTGCTTTCTTTGGCAGATCTAATAAGTGAGCACCTACGACTGGGTGCCTACGGGAGTTTCGATTATAGTAGTTTCAATTTGGGTGAGGCCAGTGTGTTTTTCCTTGCAGCCCAAGAGAACAGACTGCAATCACATTTTCCTGCACTTCGTGCCTTGTGTCATTATTGAGCCAAACAGGGTAGGTCTGCTTAATCTTGTACGATTTAGGTCTTACGGGGATAACTGCATTTAAACATAATAATGACACTGTTTTAAAGTGGTTTGATTGTACAGGGGAGGAAAAGGTAAACGATAGCAGTTAAACGGTCCATCAGTTGAAACGGATTGTTTTTCTACCAGACCGGTATGATTCAGGTGATGATTTTATTGATAGCATAAAACATGACAGATTTTCCGATGAATTCTGCACTTTTGACAGATTGAAGAAAGTATACGTCACATAGTCACGCGATATGGCAGACGGCTGTGGAAGCTGCGTGTGCTTCAAGCTGAAATGAAAGTCACTATCAGGTATTGAGCGATGTTGGGGTATTTAACCAGAGTTTTATATAAATACCTGTCGATTTATGTTTTACACTAAATAAACGCGTGAGACGCTGCGGCCAAACGATAGCTTGCTGGTCTTTGGATCAAAGGTTACAAATGTCAGCTCCTTTTTCCTTGTGGAGCCTCTCTCCACTCAAGAGTGCGAATGATGGCTTCCAAGCAAATTTAGCGAAATGCGTAAGGAAGGGAGGGGAGGGTATCCAAAGGAGAGTGGTGATGCTCTCAACCGCTCAATGCTAGTCGGAAGCTGGGCTACTTTGAGAGTTATTCTTTGTTTTTATAGTCTTTATCTTTGAATTATTTTATATTCTAGGCTAACTCCCACTGGAAAAAAGATTCCTCTGAGGGTGTTTATGTCCAACGAGTCCGGATATTATTTGGGCTTCCATATCTACCGAGAGATAACGGACCCAAGGACAGGACAGGTAAGGATTTCGAGAAAATCGTACATATATTTAGTAAGGCGGCCATCGCTTACTAGTTCGAGGTTCTTGCAACAGGGGATGAGACAGTGGTCGGTGTGATGTCAGAAAACTGATGATGCAACTGTCACTGAATTTATGTCTACTTGTTCCTCTCACAAGTTAGAGTCGCGATCAATTGTAGAGTCAAAGTATCAGTCGAGGACGCAACGTTCCGATTGCTATACTGATATGGATGGTCTTCGTGAGTTGATGATTTTGAATAATTTCGTGCTGCTGCAACTGATAGCTTTGCTTTACAATTGATGGTAACTGTTCACCCTGACGTCTAATTTCTTCTCACAATATCACTCTTGACTCAAATGTAAAGGTCATGAGAATGATGTCAATGATCAACAATTGAAGAAACTTTTGATTGTCAAAAATATTCTCCTCGTTATAACCAGAGGAAATGTAGAGAGATCAGTGTGGAGAATATAAATACTAATCTAAGGGTGTAAAGGCTTAATCATAAGAAAGACGTACCTAAGGGCCTGAATTTGGACCTTTCGATCCAGATTTCTGTTCGCCACTTACTCTTCCACTGCGTAACGTATTTAACGTATTCAAGAAGGACCGCGATATAATTATTTAGTAAACCCTCAAACTTGTGGTACAAGTCTCGCTTGAAAAAGATAAAACGTTTATTTATACAGTGTGTGGATATCTACAATATGTGCTTTGGTAGTCGTTCTTTCACTTTTTTTTTATTAACCCTTGATACCGGATCATTGTACAGATTGTGTTTGAGTCCTATGATCAGAAACAAGGTCCTCACCACGGACTCCCTGTAAGCACCCCTTACGTCACGAAGGACCACTTACAGGTAACTACTGCCGTCAAATTGGCTCACCAATGTGTTTCTTATCATAATTACGGTAATGATGTATGCTGAACCTATTACTGATGCTTGAAGATTGCGAATTGCTGGAATATTTTTGATTGAAAGGGAAATGTAGCTTAGCTTCAATCAGCACTAACTGTTTTGAGTTGTACACAGATTCTAAGATATATATATATATATATATATTTTTTTTTTTGGTCAGAGCTGGATACAACTTAAACGTTACGAGACATCTGGGTATATTGCAGTTTGAGAGATTTCTCGCTCACCTAACATCATAGCTCTAAGAAAATTTACGAATAGGTAGAAAGACGAAAAAATTGATAGGTAATGCTGTTGTGGTACCTTATCAATGCTAGAAACGACGGTTTATTATTCATAAGGATAAATTTACCATTTTTTTTCTTTAGCTGAAGCGCTTTTCGGCACAGACTCTTGGAACAACCTACGTGTATGATTTTCCGGAGCTTTTTCAGCAAGTGAGTCATCTGCCTTACTGCCCTAATAGAATTTAGGGTATAACTTCTCCCAAAGTTAACAGGAAATCTAAACATAGGAGATTTCTAATTGTAGCTTGAAGAGAGTTCCGTTTGGTATGCTGAAGAGAGGTTTCGAAGTATGACGTGTTCAAAACACAGCAAATAACAAAAGTTGAGCTTTTTCCTGTCTCCTTGCAACTGCTTTTACTCTCAAGTCGAATAATTTTAGGTTATTTTCAAGAAGAGTTTAAGGCCACATTTCTGCAGCGTGGATTTAGAGCCCACACGAAAAGTGAAGTGAAACGTGGTATTCCACATGTACAGAGTTTGAAAGTTATTCCCGAGACTCCTGATAACCGGAGTGGGGGGGGGGAAGAGGGGGAGTAAGAAGGGGAGGAAAGAACAGAACGTGGATGGTTGGGACTGAGAAAGATTAGCACGGATTGTGCTTAACGAACGTTAAGCTTAACTTTTCAAGATGCCCCTTCATGACGCGACTCTTCTAAACTTGACACTTCATAGGCTTCTATGCCGTGAATCCACGGTAACTTCGGTAGGACAAAATAGGAGTACTCGTGCAAACGAGGTTTCTCTTTTCTTTAACGTATCAGGCTATCGCAAGGCAATGGAAACAATGGTGTTCTAAACACAAGGAGGAAAAATGCCCCACCAATGTTGTAAGTTTATCATGTCATGTCTTTCATGCAGTCTCTCAGTAGCATGTATCTTTGTTTTAGACCCAGTATTAGGCCTATCATCCATAATACAAAGGCATTCTTTGAGTCAGTTACAAAATCGTACGTGTGTTTATAGGTTTGGTGGGGCTGACTGTTTACACTGAACTGTTGTTATCTAGTCTTGAGCACAATACTGAACAATATAAATAAAAAAGGCAATATGCTGCTTAAATGGTGTGAGGTTTCTCCTTTTCTCATTTCCATAGTCGTTTTATTTCAGATGAAAGTTACGGAGTATGTTTTGGATGAAAACGATCAACTTATGCCAATGAACAGATTGCATGGAGAGAACACTGTAAGTGATATATACCACCAACACACAGTTAAAAATGCTTGTGGATTATATTCTGTGTTCTACTATAGGCAACATTAACACGACTTTTATGACTTAGATTGGAATGATAGCATGGAGACTGCAATGTATAACACCAGAATGTCCAGAAGGACGTGAGGTTAGTAACTTAACTTACTTGCTTACTTCTCCTTAGAATGCCTCTGATAATCATTAGAGCCAATGGAAGCTAATGAAATATCAGGAAGAGAACCCCAAGAACTTAAAGCAATCTTACTTAGTCAAGCTCAAGCGCGAAAATGATTGGCTGAGTGGAGAGTAACCTGTTCTGGGATCTCGGCCAATGAAACGAGCGACAAAGCTGGGAAGGGTTCCGGAGAAGCTAAGATTTTTTCCAGGCAAAGTAGGGCGATTTGTCAGAATGAGATAAATTAGTTCGACCCTACACTACTTTGAAGTTATGGAAACTTAGTTTACTTACTGTCTATTGTTTTATTTTGTTTTGTTTTCATTTATTTTGTCTACGCTTTGTTTATAGATAATTGTTGTTGCCAATGACATCACAGTGATGATCGGCTCATTTGCTCCCCCAGAGGACATGCTTTTCAAGGTAATGTTGTAGTTACTTGACCAAATGAATTCGAGGTTTATGTTATAGTAAGAATAATCGATAACTTAGCTTTTAAAAAAAGCCAAGAACTAGTAAATATTTTGTACAGTTCACTCAACAAATTCCTGGAACTAGCGATAGACCTCTTTCCAAAATAAGAGAAAACTAGGAATGCTAAATGTTTAAGTCAAGGGTTAGCATTTCAGGGAGTTCTCCGAACTACAGTTCGTTGTTATTGCCAGTGAAATACTTCTCAGATGGTAAGTTACCACCAGAATGACTCCATAGCTATTAAAGTTCAACTGAATTCAAACATTACTTTTGTTTGCAGTGTTCTAATTTATCTTTTCTGATCTTACTTTCAGAGAGCTTCTGAAATGGCAAGGGCTCAGGGCCTACCATTTGTGTATATCTCTGCTAACAGCGGTGCTCGCATTGGATTGGCCGAGGAAGTAAAGCACCACTTTAAAGTGGCCTGGAATGATCCCCTTGCACCCGAGAAGGTCATAGGATTTTTAAATTTGTCTCATGTTATTTTATTGTTATTTATTTTTTCTTTTTTTTCTTTTTTGTAGAGTATACCTGATGATTAGATACGCCAGAAAAGAAAAAAAGACATCAGAAGTTTTTCATCTAATTAGCTCTTTAAATAAGCTTAAAAAAGGAAGCAGTCGGAAGATGACGTTAAAGTTTTTGTCACGAAAATAAATATAATTTCAGTTAGACCTTTGTTCTCAAGACGTTAGACAGGCAGTATGTGCTACCAGATTTAAGTTAAATGCAACCATATCAAGTTTACACTTACCGATAAGTCAATCCCGGAAACAGAAACTTTTCTATGTAAGTTAATCCTACTATGAGTTAGTTGTCTTCTGTTTGACTTAAAGTTTATTTATCTTTTCAGGGCTTCAAATATATTTATGTCACTCCCAGTGACTTCAAAAAGGTGAGAGTGGTGTCATGATTTTCGTTCTGGTGTTTCATTTTCTTAAACTGCTTACCTGTATTTAGGGAGCGAGAATCGTTTTGTGCTCTTGTACGCTGACCCATTCTTATCTTTCCAAACACTCCTAGAAGGAAGAAATATAACTACCTGTTTTATGCCTAGTTACAGAGCATTGGTAGCACTAATCGGAAGGTCTTTGGTTCGGCTTGGGCTTCGGCTTCGGCCTCTGTCGGAGGTACTCGGAAGTCAGTTCTATTTGCCGAATTTCCCTCTCCACTGACTGACAAAGAGAGTTTCCTCCTTAGCTCTAGATACCTATCGTTCAGCAGTTTCTATTGAAACGTGATGTGATCATGTTTTATCATTCCAGCTGAGTGCCACAAACTCCATGCATGCTGAACTGATTGAAGATGACGGCGAGTCCCGATACAAAGTCACTGACATCATAGGTGAGCATTAATCACACTGCATTGTAATGAATAAGTGTGAAGAGTCCTCTTCAAGCCATTAGAAGTCATACATCTCTATAATCAATTATCATGAACTTTTCCTCCGAGGTTTTATCTCATTAGTTATTTACATACTCTCTGCAGGACGTGATGATGGTATCGGAGTGGAAAATCTAAAAGGGTCTGGCATGATCGCCGGAGAGATGTCCGCTGCTTACGATGATATCGTGACCATGAGTCTTGTAAGTAGCTGTTCATTGTAATGATTTTGAAAATTCGAGAACTGTTGGAGATCGATCGGAAAAATATTTCAAAACTGTGCGTTTTCTCAATCGAAATGTTTGTTGACTGATCAGTTTGAATGAAGAACTTTTACAATCCTCAGCAACCGAGCAATGAAGACAAAAATGATAGAACTTAAAGCATAAGGTGGCCGAATCTGACGATCTTGTTTTATGTTATTACTCAGTCCATGCATTGAGTTCGCGTGCTACTTGGTAAACAGTTTTCTTAAAGCGATTGGGTTACAAAAACTATCCCCTGTACCCAAATGTTAACATGATAAATACGAGATCGCCTTACCTCTTTTAAGTTGTGTTTTCCCCTTTTGTAGGTTACGTGCCGTGCTGTTGGTATTGGTTCTTACCTCGTTCGTCTTGGTCAGAGGGTTATTCAAGTAGAGAATGCGCATGTTATACTCACGGGATCTGGAGCACTAAACAAGGTAGAGACCTTTTAAGTCTAAGCTTGAAATTTTTTTTTGTTCCCTCAGTTATCAAAAAAATGACAGAAACCTTGGCGGATAATACTGTTTCGTTTATTTAATAGATATTTCCTCTCTTAGGTCCTTGGTCGCCAGGTTTATACGTCAAACCTTCAGCTGGGAGGACCTCAGATTATGCACAATAATGGTGTGTTGATACGCGCATTTTTGTGAGATGTAGATAGAAACGGCAGGGGTTTTTTTTTTTAATCACAGTCTAACATTGCACATTGTGTTCTTAGTTGCAGAGCCGAATTTGCTATATCCGCCGTCACTCATTATTTTATTAATGCAGAAAATAACACATTTGATCTAAATCCTCCAGCCAGAACTAAGTAACAAAACCTTCGAAACCCTTTAAGCCCATGTTTCCTGACAGATCCACGAGACGATTTGCAACTGCGTGGAAAGCATTTCTAACAACGAATCTACGTTTCCAAAGGGCTTATTTTGTTCTGAAACTTATTTAAGGGCTTATTTTAAGTCTCTTTTCTTGAGATGGAGGAGGAGGCAGTGTGGCCGAGTGGTTAAGGCGTTGAACCTGTCATCTGGTGGTCCCGGGTTCAAGCTCTCCACCCTGCTGCTCACTGGGTTTGTTGTCGATTGCTCCGAGTTCATCTCCTTGGCTGAGCTCTGACACCGACCAGTTGGCATTTTTAAATGCTATGTTTAATTATCTTGTTTGTGTCAATATGTTTTTACGTCAACTAATGTTGTTATTCATAGATTGTTATTATGATTGGGATTTACTCCTGACGTTGTATAACAGGGGACAACAGCCCCCTTATACTTGAAGTGGTACAGTCGCTAAATTCCTATAACTGAATCTATGCCTACGCTCTCTACAGGCGTGACTCACATGGTAGTTGCCGACGATTTTGGAGGAATTTCCGCTATCGTGCAGTGGCTTTCGTATGTTCCTAAGGTAAGTATATCAAAAATGCAACAATTCTCGTTGACAACTTTGCTGAAAAAACTCAATTTCTTTATTTTTTATTTTTTGTATTTTTGCATCTTGTCATTTTGTTGTTTGTATTTAGTGCAAAAATGGTCCTCTGCCGATCCTAAAGACGAGTGATCCTGTTGAGAGAGAAATTGAGTTTGTCCCACCCAAGACACCATATGATCCTCGGCACTTGATCTGTGGAGCACCACATCCCGGTAGGTACTTTAAAGTTTAAAGTGTTCAGATTCATGAATTTAATCCTAGTCACTGAAGAAGCGTTTGCTCTCTGCTTGTCCGTTCAACCTCGCGCGATTTTGATAGATGTAAAGCAAAAATTTTTCCAGCTTTAAAACAGAGAACAATGACTTTATCTATTTGTATATTTTTGGTTATGTGGTTATATTTTATATACTATTTGTTTATGGGTCGTCATGGTTGTGGAACGAAACATAAGTTAGCACATCAAGGGTTTAACCAACGGAGTGTGCAATGGTTTGCCGTAGGATAGAGTCAGCTATTCATTGTACTTTACTGTTACATGAATTACAAGCCAAAAATAAAAAATAAACCACTTTCGTGTGTCTTGATGTATCATGTATCATTGAGTTTCGCGAGGGCGTTCTTTGCGTCGTTGAAAGCGTCTATGTAACTTTCCTACAAGAGCTATTGACTTTGTTGACTACTCTGTTTTGTAGAAAATGAGGATGTCTGGCTTAGTGGCTTCTTTGATAATGGTTCCTTTGTGGAAACTTTAGACGGTTGGGCAAAGACTGTCGTGTGTGGAAGAGCAAGGTAAGCTAAGTGACGAGTGATCTGTTTTTGTTGTTTGTTAGTGAGGCCATTTGTTATCTTCGACCAAGTTTCATTTTTTCGTAATATTTACTGTTTATGTAGGCTGGGTGGTATCCCAATGGGAGTGATAACTGTCGAAACCAGAGCAGTTGAAGTTGTTATTCCTGCAGATCCTGGCAATCCTGATTCCGACACCAAGGTATGAACGCACTTCCTCTGTGTTAATCCTGAAATACTGGCTCGGTCAACAGGTCTACTCTTTTTTTCAGTATTCCTTTCATATGGCGTCTCCAAAGAATTGAACACCACTCGGTGTTAATTTATTGTTTGCAACTAATGCCACAACAAGAGAGGGGATTGAAAAGTCGGCATGTCAGGAAAGGCTTCAGAATTTTACCCACTGACTAATATATCTAAAATATTAAATGCGCATCTTCATTTTTGGGAGAGGTATTTATTATGAGAGAGGATCATCTTAATTGTTACCTAGGGACACGACAGAAGAAGTTTAGCAGGCAAGGAATACTCAATGAAATAGTTATTCCTTTCATCACTGTTATCTCCATTCATTTCAGATTCACGCCCAAGCAGGGCAAGTGTGGTACCCAGATTCTGCCTACAAAACTGCGCAAGCCATCCGTGACTTCAACAAAGAGCAACTCCCTTTGATGATTTTTGCCAACTGGAGAGGATTTTCGGGAGGTAGGGGGGGACTCGTTAAGATATCATTATTTAATTCTCCTCTGTACTTAAAGCAGCTGAACTATCGTATTTGTCCATTGGTTAGTTCACGTTTCATTTTTAACCTTCCTTGCAGAGAATGACTTGACGTACAAACACTCGTGTTCGAATATAAACAATCTGGTGATATGGTTCATATTAGATAATCTCTTTGATTTAAGTGTATGATGATGCTGCGTCGGGCACTTAACTTCCACATCTGATACGTCTTGCAGATAATTAACAACTATTCACCGAAGTGTAGGTGGTTAGTGGTGGATATTTACTAAGTCACGAAGCGGCGAGGTAAACATCCATCTCCAGCCACCGTCTCTGAGCTGAAAAGTTCTTGTAACACATCATTTATTCCTTTAACGATTACTATTTTTTCGGGGTGCAAATCCAGCGCGAATTGCTGAGAGGTGAATAGCAAAGGAGTTTGAATAGCCAATCAAAGCGCGCCTTTAACGCTATCCACTGTTTCAGTAGACACTAATGAAAGATATCAGAGAGGTCGTGGATGAATAGAATTGGATAATATTATATTGACAGGAAGAAGACAGAGGTGAAATTCTTTTTGGAGCCAATTTTTGTAGAGAACTGTTCCTCTGACAATTAAGATATTCCCATGATCAATAACAGATTCTATTTCTTTAACAACTCCTAGGAATGAAGGACATGTACGAACAAGTGTTGAAGTATGGCGCCTATATTGTCGACGCACTGCGAGAATATGAACAGCCAGTGTTTATTTACCTCCCGCCAAATGGAGAACTTCGGGGAGGAGCATGGGTCGTAGTGGATCCAACAATCAACCCTGATATGATGGAGATGTACGCTGACCAAGAAAGCAGGTAAGATGACCTTGAAAACTCGTATAAAATAACATTGCTATGCTTTAACTTTTTCTTACGGCAACTGTATACACTGAGTCAAATTACGAGCCACAAGGCTTATACCGTTAGTGCTTTTACCCCGGGTTCATTGGCATGAGGCGACTTGGTTTATACTTCGACCTTACATTTCTGAAATTTTCCCTGAAGGTCTCTTGTATCTATTTAAACTACTGGGTGGAGATAGGCACTGATAGAGGAAAGGGTCTTTCCAAATAACACAACACACTGTCCCGATCAAGTTTCAAACTCACTCCTTACCGCTTTCCGGCCAACAGGAGTACATAATACGCTTTTTCTAGTGAATTTCTATCGACAGAAAGGTATCAAATTATTAATATTTTGCTCCTGCGGCCTGCACTCTGAGAAAAAAGTTATATAAAACTACAACGCAATACTTCAGACGAAAGGCTTGAAATACTTCGTCGACGGGTGGTAAATAGATTCATGGCCAGGACCTTTTATATATGTACGCAATAAGAACAGAACACACAAGACACTCTGTTTTATCTTTTTCGTCTCGCAGAGGTGGAGTACTTGAACCTGCCGGTACAGTGGAAATCAAGTTCCGACGTAAGGATCTTGTAAAAGCCATGCACAGATTGGATGCCAAATGCCAAGAGATCGCGCAGGCTCTCGCATCAGCAGGTAATAAACTCGCTTGATTTTGGGGGGGGGCGGCGGCTTGTAAGAGGTGAAAGTAACACAAGAAGGAGTTCACTTAAAGGCGGCTCTGCCAGCCGAAATTAAAAGTATACCCGACGGTTCAGGTCAGGGAATCATAATTTATGTACTCCAAAAGGAGATATATTTTCGTAACTTCAACGAGGCACACTCGAGTCAACTAACGACCTTAAAAACCTCTGCCTCAGCACACCTGTACAGATTTGCGGAATCCCATCCCGTTTTTGAAAGCACTTGACGTTTCGAAATCTCGTTAATTTTAGCTGAGCGACTTTGTTTCAGAGTTACCAGTCAAAGAACGTAAAACACTGGAGAGGCAGCAGAAGGAACGAGAGGAACTGTTACTACCCATTTATCAACAGGTATGGTGAACTTGAATGAGATCCTAGTCAAGTAATATCATGCAGATATTGACTTAAAGTAGGAAAAGTACGTATGTGTTATCATTGTAAACTTTTAGTCAAGACTTTCATGCAAGAAACAGGCCAATCAATGTTGACATAGGCCATCCAGGGTGAAAAATCGAGTGCTGAAGAAAACCGAGATATCCGTCAATCAATTACGTTTAGTTATGGATAGTGATAAAAGGTTGGGATCTGTTGTGCATTAAGTAATCATCTACATCACGAGTTCTTAATTTGATCTTTGTACTTCCCGTTCACAGATTTCAGTTGAGTTTGCTGATCTTCATGATACTCCAGGGCGTATGCAAGAAAAGGGAGTCATCTCCGTAAGTTCATTTTAATTGCTGGTCGTCCCAATTTCAGTCGTTTCGCATTTCGTCACCGTCGTTATTATCGTCGTCTGTGCCAACTGCTAAACGGAAGAAGCATTCAAACAATGCATAGTTTGAATGTCCTTTTCCCCCTTTCCAAAAAATAAACAGAGCCAAGCGAGCTATTAATTAAAAAATGCTTAGGGTTGGGTGGGTCGAAACTGGATTAAAGGTACGTAACCCTAACCTGTTGTGGCTCAAAGTACTCGGCCCTGATGCGAAAAAAAAAAAAAATTCGATTCAACTTTTGAGTTCATTCCCTGTTAGAATATAACATTTGTGACTTTCTTTCACTTTCTAGGAAGTTCTCAAGTGGAAGGAGTCCCGCCAGTTCTTTTACTGGCGCCTAAGGCGAATTTTGATGACCAGAGACGCTAAAAAGAAGATCAGGAAGGCTAATCCGTAAGAAATCAGTGCAGTTACTTCTGAGCACAAAATGCGATAACATTCGTAAAGTCAATTTTTTTTGTTTTGCTTTTCATAGCGATATTTCAAGCCCTCAGCTCTGCTCCATGTTGGAAAGATTGTTTCTAGAGGCACACGGGAACACCAAGGTAAACATCCCTTTTTGAACTTTGTACCAACATTAACTCATTGATTTTGTCCACTTAAAAACTTTTGACTCGGTGCACATCGTCAGTGGAACTGTTTCCTTCTCCCTTGTTTGAAAGAAAGTAATCTGTTCTCTCGTAAATGTATTCTCTGTTCTTCTTATGCTGCAGTCTTACTTGTGGAATGACAACAAATCAGTTGTGGAGTGGTTGGAGAAGGAAGCGAGTCTAAATGAACACTCTGTCATTGACGAAAATGTGAAGTGGATAAGTAGGGATTGGATCCTAAGACAGATTAAGACGTAAGTATCCCTTCAAAATCGTTCTTTCCTTCTATGCCATGAGCGTAAACATTCAACCCGGTCATTGTCTGAAAAGAAAGAGACCAGAGATCGTTCTCAAATATCAGTCGTAACGAAGAAACTAGAGAGTATACCACGGCATGAGAAATATTGGAAAAAAATGTCTATAAAAATGAGATTCTGAACCTTGCATATCGGATTCGGAATGTTGTAACGTTTATTTGTATCACCCCTTCACACCCTAACGTCAGAGTACATATTCCCTGCACCACTGTGTACACATTTTCTATGATACCGACAAAGAGAATTTGTATTTAACAGTCAAGAGTTCCTTCAGTTGAGGGTCATTTCCTACTATTTGTAGAAAATTTTTATCATGTCACGATTTTGATGCTTGGTAGGTAAGAGCTTCTATTTCATCCACTGTAGACTTGTACAAGAAAATCCTGAAGTTGCAATGGACTCTATTGTACACATTACCCAGCAAATGACTGCTGCCAAACGTGCGCAGGTTTCCAAGATTTTGGCTGCCATGGACTCTGGTAGTACTGTGGATAATTCAAATGGCGAGTCTGCCAGCTAAAACGCAAATTTTGATTTGACTCCAACTTGACATGACTGTAGCATGTAAATAGTCGATTGTGTAGGGGAAATATTTTTTTTAAGAGACAGAACTTCGTCAACTCTTTCTCTTACTTATCGCGAACAAATTTTCAAACTTTGATGAGATTTCCCCCCATGTGAAAGTCATTTTACCAAAGTTACTTTGATTTCCAGGCACTTTGATTCGTACTTAGATACTAGTACCAGGAACATAGAAAGGTAATGCAATTCATTCACCTGGATAACAAAAAGTATTTCTGCAGAAAGTCGAACAGTAAATGCAAGTATTATCATTGTGTGGTTTTTGCTTTTAAAGAGTACTCCCACACGCGATTACCCTCAAACCTCTCCGTGGAATTTGAGTTGACGGAGTTCTGCAGTTTACGTTATAACGTCCATTTTGGTAACATATCGCATGCTTTGTCGCTAAAAAAAAAAGATATCTTGCCTCGAAAAGGTATAAATAAGAACAAAAAATTGAATGTTTTCCTCAAGTGAACGAAGAGAGAGGTTGCTTTTAGAGGGAACGAGTACTAGTATATTTAAAAAAACAAATTTGTCTTAAGGCAAATATTTAATATTCGCAGTGGAGTAGTTTTTCTCCAGTAGGTTGCTATTAAATCTCGTGCCTCTTAAAGTTTCTTCAAACTTATCAGTGTAACTGACATAAAGATCTTGATGTTGACAAAGATGGGATATTTCTAATGAGGCTGGGAGTCAGGCTTATCGGAATGCTACCGTATTAAAATACTGAAGTGGCTGATAACTCGATACCAGGAGGCTGATAGGAATAATGTGCCTTCCCTGTGTTACCATATGGTCTAAATGATGATTATAGTTGAAAGTGATAAAATTGCCATAAGAAAGTTGTTTAATTGAGGGATGACAAACTCGATAGGTTTATATTTATAATGATGTGATTCTTTTTTTTTCCCAAGCTGTGTGGTTCAGATTGTATTCTATGATTTTGAAATGATATTTTCTTTTACGTTGAATTAAATTTAAAGGTAGTTCTCTTTTGTCAATTCACTTAATTCAGCTTAGTGCGCCATTCAATCTCAAAGAATGATAGTTAAGAAAATCAATCAATAAATAAAAACGTGAATTAAATTTTCCTGATTATGTTTTTTCATTTTCAAGGTTTTGTACAAGTAGATTTTGAAGAATTTCACTCAAGCAGTGATTTTACAAAAAAAAATTGTTATTAAATCGACCATGATCATAATTTTTTATTCCTTAATACCATCAATCAGTTTGCTTTGTTGACCCATTCGTTTAGTAAATATTAGATGTACTGAAAATGAACGCAAGGTTTAAATAAATTCAAACTTTTATTATAAAGTCTGTGGTACTTTGTAGTTTATATTTCTCCGTCTTGGTCATTCGAATGAAGGTCAAACATGCCTGATATAAAAAGAAAGCAACGTATGTTACTAGACTTTCCACAACCCAAAGGCGCAGGAATCGGGCTATTTATTGCATGTATAAGTTTGACCTTGTAAAGAATGGAACTTGGTATCCGAGTATATTGAGTCGAAATGACATGTTAACAAAGCTTTGGTATACCTAGGTACTGATTGACACTCTCTCTTTGCTCTGCCACTGAAAACATTCCCTGACAATCTCTTCCTCTTTTGGGGAAAGTAAATTGTCAAGCTTTGGAAGCAATGATAGAATAACATCTCGGGGACCTCACAGGATCAAAAAGCCGCACGATACAAGCAGAATTGTGACCCTGCAAAATACAAAAAATTGTGAGAGGGGAGGTGCAGTAGCTTGCATCAGCTTCATAATTATGAGCAGTAATCAAAGACAGTTACTAAGAAAGGTTACCTGTTCATGTAAATAGAAAAGTCTGTCCAGCAGGAAAACACTTTCAATGCAAGGGGCAATAGCTGCTCTCAACTGATAACAGAAATTGAATGTAGTATATATAAATATATATAAAATATATATATGTATTTTTTTTGTGGACTTCTACTAATTAAAGTAAATGGAATGTAAATGACATTAAAGATGCTAGGAAGGTAAGAAAAGTTAAATTATCAATCCATCTGTCGGTTACAGGTTTTTGGTGATTATCACATGTGGGGCAAAATTTCTGAATGCTTATGGCCCGAGACAGAGGGCATTTATTCTTATTCATGAGGGCACTTTTGGTAATCAAGAGGGCATGATTACTTGATGCTGATTGGTTATAAGTTGCCTAGCAACAAAGCATTATTGTTGAGATTTGTTGCTGATTAAATTTTCTTGCAACAATGGCTTCCCGTTTAGTTGAAGCCACGAAGACTTCATTGAGGAACTGAAGCACAATAGCAAGAACAAAAACTCTAAATGAAGTACACTTTATTGCACAAAGCATTAAAAGAGCCACAAACAGTCTGTCATCAACTGTAAAAGCAAAACTGGAGAATTGAAGACAAGTAACACTGTTGCAGTTGGGTAAATCTTCTCTGAGATGGTATTTAAACAAATGTGAACACTTTCCATAGTTTGCACAATGTGAAAAACATCATCTTCACTCTTTCAAATATTTCACATAAACGAAAGTTCAGAGGAAATCGCTGAGAGCTGATTACAACAACTTCTCAGAATGGGTATGTCATTTCACATATTACATCTATGCATAGCTTGGTCTCCACCCCTTTCACATGAACATAAAGAGTCTGAAACATAGTGTATGACTACTCACCTGATGGAAGGCATGCAGATGCCTCTCATGGTGTTTAAATCTTGTCAGGTAAGAGTTCACTTCTTCATCAGACAACTGTAAATTGCACAAAAAATGCATGTGTTGTTTGTTCTGGGAGAAAACCATGAGAACTCCCTTAATTATTAACCCAAAAAATTAAAGAGAAAGGAATAGAAAGAATGCAAAGGAAAGGAAACAGAAAGAAAATTGCTAAGACATACCAAAGAAATTAAGACAAAGACTGTATGTACAATGTACTTTGATTCCTCGTTGGCACCTTGTGATGCCTTCCTTCCCTTAAGCTGGCCTTTGCGATTTTGTTTGTTTTGGTTTTGCAACACCAAATCAAAAAGCCCTCTACAGCACAAAGTTGATATCAATACAAACCTCACTTATTTTGTCCTTCAATCCAAGCTTATAAAGGCATTTATTAACATACTCCTTGAAATCCCTACATTTTGCACCAGCTTTGCCAACTCGCATTCCACTACAAATGTGTGAAAAAACAATTAAAGTTAAGATGGGCATTCTTCTAGGAAAACTACCCTTTACTTAACAATGAGATACATGTACATAAACATTGCTTGATGTTATTCCAAGAAAAAATTAACTGCTGTGGAGAATCTACACACAGAGTAAGCTGAACCAAGAATAATTGATGAACCAAAATTGCATAATGGTTGGCTGCTATTTCTTTTACTATAATTGTGATGCCTGGTAAGTAGGAAAGAGATATATGCTCTCTTTTCTTGTGATAAATGTTTACCATATTCCTTTCTGTAATAGTTTAGTTATTTGCATAAATAAGTGGACTTCAAAATTATAATGTTCACCAACCTTCCATCCAAACCAAACTTTTCTTTCAAAATGACCTGTTATAAAGTAAATTTACCTAATTGAGTTAACTATTGCCATAGCGGCTCTATATATGAAAACAGACTTCTCAAAGTACAGTCTATCATCTTCTTCAAGCTAGGTCCTCAAAGAAAAATTAATGAATTGTAATGATTCTCATACATGAAAATGTATCAACCCTTTACACACTAAAATCAGTATGTAAATTCTCTACACTGTTCTCTATACATTTCCTAAGGTACAAACAGGGAGAATTTGTTGAACAATCAAGAGCTTCTTCGGTTGGTGATCATTTTCTCTTTTCTTATGACTTTAATGTTTGATTCAGGGGTGATATTGTAAGGTGAAATAATACGCTAGTCACTCCTATGTGTCTGCGGGTTAATGGCCTTACGGCATCACTAAATATGTCAATGACTTCCTAAACCTTTCGAAATTTTTGTGGTGATTCTTTGCTAAATCAACTTAAATCTTGTGTCTTACATCCTTTCAATCAAAACCATGGCTTCATCAGCACAAGCACCCAGTTGGAGTAGAAAAAGAGACTAATTAAACATACAATGTATGTCTAATTACTCAATGTAATAAATAATGACAATAGCAATAATTACATACCTGAAGAATTGCTCTATACAGAACACTAGGAGGGGGACACTATATGAAAAGAACACAAAAGAAAAATTCTACAATTATCCATATTTGTCTTTGAAACATCTATAATCTGATTGTTAGTCGTCTAACCATGTTGTTATTAACCAAAACAGGAAATATGAAATCTCACAAAAACAAACCCATCTGTTTTTGCAGGTTAAACAAATTGTTTATATCCAAAATTGTCATGTCATTGCACTCTCTTATATCAATGCACTCTCTTATCCATGGTTGGACTGAATAATTACTGTAAATACTGTTTCTTTACAAATTCACCTGGGATTCTGAAGATATTCTGTCTGCAGCCTGAAATGAAAGAAAACAAAATTAATGTCATAATTGGGCATGTATGCATACAGCGTACATGTATGTCATAAAAATTACCGTTGCGGGTGCCTAACAACATTTTAAATGGAAGGCACAAGATTTTAAACCTCACATGCCAGAATTTCTGGGAAGAACCTAATGAAAATCTGAAAGTGGTCAAATATACTTGTAAACTGCTCTGTATAGGCCTAGAGTAATTTTTAAAAGTCTACTGAAAAATGTGATTCGTGGAAATATTTTATGTGGTTATACATTCCACCTTCAGTAGTCAGATATTATTTCTGTAAAAAGCAGTAAAATGGTGAATTTGAGAAACCAAGTATTTAATGTAATTTGTCACCTGCTGTGCAACCATTGTGGCATTCCTGCTTATCTGAAGTTGAATTGGCTTCAAGAACTGGCTCATTGGAAAACCTGGAATGTTATCAGAATCAATGGATCCTCTAGAAAAAGCTGCAGAAATACAAGGAATTGGAACCAATCTTTGGCTACATAACACTTTCCTGTACTCTGTAATTATAGTTTGACAAACAGTTGTGCAAGTCACTTACAGTATATATATATCTAATAACAATGTGTATTTACTTCTTGTCGTGATCATTTTATTTGACGACACTTAGTAAACTGCATAGAATCAGGTTGAACACTGCACAGAGAAAGAGCTTGCAATTTCAGGGTTATTATACACAAAACAGCACAGCACACAACCCAGGAGTATACATGATTACTTGAGAAAACTGAAAGAGAAATAAAACTGTTAGGCAGTAACCTGCTGTCTCATTACCCAAGAGTCTACAGGGGTACCTGAGGAACTTTACATGAGGGAAAGTGACAAATTGCTTGGCAGTAACCTGCTCTGTTATCACCCAGGAGTAATCATTAGGGTAAATCAATTCTGTGCCTTTGCAAATTGTCAGGGAAAATTGACTCATTGTGAGGCAGTAACCTTCGGTCTTGTTAACCAGAAGGCAAGTATAAAGGGGTACCTAAGAAAACTGTCACCAAAAATTGACAAATTGCTAGGCAGTAACATGCTGTCTCATCACCCAGGATATGCAAGGGTACTTGCACTTGAAGAAACTGTGTAAAAAATTCAGAAATCATAAGGGCCTCCAGCCAGGAAGATGGGTGATTCTCTAGATAACACGATGTTCTTTAGAAAAGAAGGTTAAAAGACTTCATATAAAAATTATTTTACAAAGCACTTTTACATGTACCTGCAGTCACACTTCTAAGTGCATTTCAATAAAAAAATAACCATGTGAATGAAAAATTTCTTCTTACCTCCAACTTCTTGTGTAACAAGGTGATAACAACAGCCTACAATACAAATCAACTTCACGGAGGATTCACTTGAAAATATTCTCAGTGCAGTTGGAGCTAAGTCACCACATGTGTGCAAACCAACTATGAACATGCCATTGCATTCAATGTTCTCCCCATCTGAAGGGGTTCCCAGTTCATCAAAAATTCTAGTTAGTGTTCCATTAGAAATATATGACTGATCAACAAACCCAGTGACAGGAACAAATGAAGTTAAGTTTGGTACACATGTATATGATTGTTTTAATTCCCCAGTCGTATCATTCTCAGAATATAAGCATCTATGGATAGCATCAGATGATCCCTTACATGTGACTCTGCTGTCACCCTGTGGACTGGAAGATAATGACGAGGAAGACCTGTGTAAAGCTCTTTTTTTATCACTATCCTCACAAAAGTGGTTGCAAAGATTTAAAGAGCCATCACAACAAGAAGGAGAAGCCTCTGATACAGTATCACTCCTCAATGAGTCATTATTCTCTCTTTTGGACTTTTTGACAAGTCCTGACCACACTTTCAAAAGCCTCTCATTTCTCCTGGCTGCATTTTGTGTATTGCCATCAGAGGAATCAACACCAACTACCTTTAATCCATACTGCAATGCTAAACACTGACTCAGGTAGCCTTTACCACTTCCAAGATCCAAAATCTAAAAAAAAAAAGTTCAGTATTCACCAAAATATAATGGAGCGAAATTACAAGGCCATAAACTTGTATCTCACGGGTTTAGATGGAAGATACTTAAACCAATAGCCATGGAAAGCGTAGAAATATATCTGCTCCATCACAAGCTTTTAATTTACCTTATTGACTTGGAATTGCTTCGCTAATCTACTAATCACATCCGACATCACATCGACCTCGTACGATTTCTTTGGTGTCATGATATGAGAAATAAAATTCACTTTGCTGTTGCTAGTAAACTCCCTTTGATCTTTCACCCAAGTAAAACTCTTAAGTTGAGCTTGCCTCGATTCCTCGAGAAACAATCTCAGGTGTTCACCGAGTGTTCTGTATTCTTCTGATGTATTATCATAAGCCAAAGTAGGTAGGTGAGTGAGTTGCTTGTGTGAAAGTGATTCGAGATCTTCTCTAAGTTGAGGCGATAAAAGGGATTCCCAGTGATTGGAAGTGAAGAATTCAACCATATGGGCATCCATTAATTCCTTCTTACTTTCTAAATAAGCAGTCAAACGTTTAAAATCCTCGTTCAAGTGGTCAAGATTCGGACCACTAGTTACTTGGATGGACGCCATGTTGGATATTGGGATAGAGTAAAGACTGGTATCTAGTTACCAGTACCAAAGTAGCGTGCACTTTTGAAGTATTCCATGGCAAGCAAATTTTGCAATCGATTGGGCAAAACGCGGCTCTAAACTGAAACTCTATGGAGGTTTTGCATTCGGGAAAAATCTGAAAATCAGGGGGATTCGGAAAGAAAACAAGCATTTTTAAGCATTGTTTCGTAGGTTCAAGGAAACTTCCTGTAACCATTTTCTGAAAACCTTATTGTTTTTTCTCAGAAGAGCGAACGGCTTCTGTTGCGTTATAGGGCAAGAGGAAACGGTGCGTTTTCAGCGATTGAAAAGAGAATTGAGAGGGGGATGGGTAAGAATGCATTTAACCGCGTTTTTGCTGATAAAATTTTCAGAAACTTCATGTAGGTAAAGGGATACCAAGAAGAAAAATTGGTTTCCATTTCAGGACAAAGTACCTTGTAACCATTCTTTGTTGCGTGCAAAGGTAATACCAGAACATCCCCCGCCGACATTCTCAGTAATTCCTGATCATTCGTTGATACAAATGACGTCATTCAATCCTCCTAAAACAAGTTCCTGCCTTGAAGTGCCCTGCTGGATTGAGGTCACCAACTTGGTGGTATCTGTTTTCTGTGCATGCTATAAAAGATAGATCGAATTGCCTTGCGTGCATTGGAAAGTTGCCATTTGTACGTTTAGCAATCATGAAGGCTCTTCTCCTACTTTTCAGTTTGGTTTCGATTGTTCCTGCGCTTTCATATTCTTCAAGGTCGGTTAGGTCTGGTAAGTTGCCAATTGATTATCTTTTTCTTCGATGAAATTTAGTAACGAAATTTCCGGTTAGTAGATAGTCCCCAGTGTTGAAGCTTGAAGATTTGAACGACGGTCATTTTGCTCTTTTACCTATGAAATACTTATTACTAGAAAGAGCATTAGGATGATTTGATAAGTTGCTTCCAAAATTTCATCCTTTGCCATCTGAGTACCTTTAGCTGCTATGTGATTTAAAACACGAGCAAGTTCCCTTTTGGGAAAACCACATATCTGCGAGGACGAATAGAAATGTTATCAGACGTAAATAATCGAGTGCGAAACCTCTCTTTCTTTCTTTCCTTCTTTCTTCCTTTCTTACATTTTAATTTTCTTAGCTAATTATTGGCCTTAACTTTTTAGTTATGTTTCAGTTATTCACTGATAAAAAGCTGAGACAAGCATCGTCCGGCTATTAAATTTAAACTCAATTGCAAGTTTTTTCTAATCAAAAGTCTTTCAAGAATACTAAGATTCGAGGAACAGGAGAATGTTTCTGAGCACTAAAATCTCATTCAGCAAAATTCTAAGTTTACTTTAGTTGAGTTTCCTTTGACCTCGCTACCGACGGCCAGGGTCTCCTACCAGACAAAGACGACAATGCAAAAATTTGATAAACAGATCCTAAACTTCATGATTGTTACTTATCTTTCATCCACTTGACATATTAATAAACGCGCATCGCAGCACGAATGTCTTCTTGTCTCCTCTCCAATTGTTTTGTTTTTTTCTAAATTGTAAGCAGACAGGGCCAAAAGATTGTTATGTGAGCATATTTTTGGCAAAGGTATATGAACTGCAGTAGTTTGTAAACGAAGATCGTTCATGTTTCTTAAACACTCAATAGGATATCGTATACTTTTATCATAAGTGCCTTTTTACAATGATTTCTTCCCTAATTTACTTACATCAGGTTTGAATTCGTCAACGTTAGTAGGGATTATTTGATGTATGAAATCGTTCGTTGATTTTAATTTCTTTTAAACTCAGACTGCGACGAGAATTGCCTAAAATGTACAGATCCTAAGTCACATTTCCCGAAATGTCGAAGATGTAAAGAAGGCTATACACTGGTTAAAACTTACATTCGACGTAGATGCGAAAGCCAGTGCCCACCCGGATCAGGACAAGTACCGGTATGGGATCCAGTCATCAGAGCTTACATTTGCGATAGAAAAACAGGTTATTAAATTTGTGAATGTATTGACGTCACCAATAGATTTTAGCAACAAATCGACTAATGTTGTGACAAGGAATGTTGTTCAACTTTAATTTATGGTTTGCAAATATGATGGTTTCGAACTTGTGGAGGAAAGATGGATATCCTACTCTGTTGTTCAGGGAATGTTCTTGGTAACTGATGCATTGAAGAGGGTAGCAAAAGTGGTGGAGGGGAGGGGAGGGGAAGTCCTGATCCCGTTTCACGCACGAACTGAAAAATTCACTTGTATTGCAATTTAAACAATATTTTACGCGTCATGAATTTAAAAGGATTAACTTCAAACCTTACCTTACCTCTCCGTCCGTAAAATTTACGCTTCACGCATAAAGCCTTTGCCAACCTCATTAAGGTCAGCGTTCTATAGCGTGGGCAAATTCACATTGGATAAGCCTCGAAGCCTAATGTCTGTTACTGGCGTAAGCCAAAGAGTGAGTAGGAGGTGAATTTCATTGCATAACAGGATCAGCAAAACTATACTTTTTTTTACATCCGATGTGACAACGCCAATGAAAGCAAAACTGGCAAACAAGGTTCAACTGTTTGCATTCGGTTGATATTCATTCAATCCCTCAGTTTATGTTGATGAGGTAATAGATAATAAGTGATTAGAAAAATCAATTTCTGTTTTATCCTCGGTTTTTGTTGTGTTTCGCCATTTTCACTCTGACATTTGCTTTTTCGCACAGATTGTTACTGGCATGATTCCAACTGCGTAGAATGTCTAGGCAGTGGGTCATGCCTAAAGTGCAAGAAGAACTATGCCCTTAAACAAAAATCGTTCAAATATACTGGAGCTATCATCGGTCTAAACAAATGCGTTGACGACTGCGAAACATGCGTGGAGCCCCGAAGTAAAACTATTGTTTGCAAGACGACGGCAGGTATGTTTTTGACATAGTTGCTTTCCCTCAAAAAAGGTTTTATTGTTCTCAGTATGCCGGATGTTATTTGGAGTTCTATTTGGCTGATGATGAAGGCAACCTTCGCTCCGATTAGCGGTTGTGAATATTTTGGTTCTGTTTTTCTCGAAACGGAAATGAAAACTGCTCTAACAATAGCATTTTTGTTTCTCCTCCAGCTTCGTGTTTAAACAGTCAGGCACCATCAACCCCTCACAAGAAAAGCCCACACAACTGTAAGCTCTTCCCTTATCAGTTAACTTCGTTTGATAAGTGTTTGAAACTTCCTTATTCGTCACGCTCATTACGTCATCCGTTTATATTTTTCTTTAAATGTTTATAGCACTCTTGTTACTTTCAGTGCCTTCCCCGAAAGTGCCAGCTGGAGCAGTAGGAACCAACCCGTCAACTGATATAGACCCAACTCCTGAACCTACCAGGGACGGGGCAATGACGGGCAGCAGTGAAGACACTGAGCCAACTGTGGATGAAATAGATAATAATAATTAAAACTGTCAGGTTGAGTTACATCCTGATTATCTGCTTTCAACATCATTTGGGTAACTACCCGTCAAGAACAGTGTAAGGTTTTGTGGCAATTCTGAAGATCCAGTGGCTTTAGTAGGAGGCCTATTTTATCCCGCTTTGATTTTCTTTGGAACAACCTCAATTCAAAACTGAACTAAAAACGTTTTAAAGATCATTGATACGTCTTCAAAAAGCTCTTGATGAATAAAGATTATTACTGATTTGACTCTGCGTGGCTACCATTTGCTTAAAGTATCCCTGCATTAAACGTAAGCTAATAAATTACTCTATCAATATAAAAGGCTTGTGTTGTATAAAGCTGGTTTTAATCTTATGGAATATTTCTTATGGGAAATCTTATACCCCATTCACACCAGCAAAACATGTTTTGTTAAACTGGTTTTCATTGAATGAAAATTATAAACAGAGAACTGAAAAACTTGATTTTCCATTGGGAAATTCAAGTCAAAAATAGAGTTTCTATGAAGAAAAAAAAAATTAAACTGTGTTTAACAAAACAACTTTTAAACATGTTTAAGCTTTGGTGTGAATGGGGCATTAGACTAATGTACTGAGTTTGTTCTGTGCTATTTCTTTGAACTAAATCGAAATACAAAACCACATTAGGTGTCGGTGCCTGTATGACACTCCTTATTCGAAAGGTTCCCCTGTAACGTTTCTAATGCGCATGAAAATCGCTTAGAAATGTATGGCTTAAGATTTTGATTTATAAAAGTAGGCTATTGTAAACTTTATAGGTTACCTCACAATTCAACGTTTCAATTTGCGATGATACATTGTTTTCTGCTTACTTATGATGAATTATGCTGAGAGTGCTTCATCTGTAAAAATGCATACATGTTTTGGAGTTAAAGATCATCGGAAGTCATACTTTCGATCCAAGATTATAATTAACGGGAAATGCAAAAACTCGACAAACAGCAGTGAAAAATTAACACGTACTGCAGAAAGATAGCTAGAGGGAAGCCTGTCATTCTGTTTATGGTGTTCAATGAAAGTACACAGTTTCTCCTGGTTGCAAATTAGAACCACGAAAATAATGCCAGAAAAATTGATTTGATCCAAAACTCAGAAATATGACCAGCTGTTAACTAAATGTAAAGAAAGAAAACTGTGAAACCTGTCATGTGGAGACAAAAAAAGTTCTATATTCTTTCAGAGACGCCTCGGTAAAGATACAGAATTTTTGCGGCTATTTATTTATGTGGACCTGAGACATTTTTGTGAGATACGCCAGACAAACATACGTCAAGTCAATTGGTGCTGAGTTGGTCTGATGCAAAATAAGATCCATTTTTAAATCGGGAAGTAAGTAAACACCTTAGAGGCCGTTAAGTCATGGAAAGAGGATCAAAGCTAAAAGGTATTAATCATTAGTTATTGTGATGATTCAGGTTTGTGTTTGGAATGGATCCCTACTCCTTCTGTTTCATGCTCTGCAAATGCACACATTCATAAATATGATATGAAAATTGCAACGCCTGTTTTCCACGTTTGTCGAATTTAATGAACGTAAAGACAGAGCTAAATTTAACATGTTTAAGGTTTATTTCGTGCATTTACTTCTCAAGTTAAGTATATTAGTTATGTAAAAACATGACGTTTCGGCGGCATGTCATTATTATAAAAAACATAAGAATTGAAAAAAATAATTGATGATGGTGCCATCTCGTCTCCAAAACGTCATGTCATTACTCCACAAAATAATATGTACTTCTCTTTCCCAAGAGAAGATTTTTACGATTTGGCGCATTTAGTATATCCAGTCATATACCACAAGTAAGTGATATTCCCCAATTTTCTAACCTTTCTTCTACTACGATAAAAGCGCTCTTTAAAATCATACTCAGGATGAGAGAGCCTTTAGCTATTTTAATAATAAGAAGGGAAACGTTTTTGGTTCAAAGTCGTACCAGAGAACACTGAAAAGTGAACACCCTACATAGCATACAGTGAGCTGTTCGCGCGTTTTCCCTCGAGGCTAACAGTTTTCCTCGAGCTTCGCCCTCGGAAAACTGTTCGCATCTCGGAACAGATAATATCCGCAGACAAACTTGCGCCGAAATATTGGCTTTTGTTTATATAAATAGTAAGACTTATGTTTATATTTATGCTTATGCTAACGATATGCATTCTTGTTTCAAAGGAAAAGGCATCTTCGTTTCCAGCTCATTCAAACTATAAATAGCAGCTTTAATGAAGGTTTGATTGTTTTAAAACTCGGATCCATCGGGAAAAAATAAGATTAGGCAACTGCAGGTGTGCAACTTCACTTATCGCCTAAGCAAGATAACAGTTTTTTATCAAATATTTAAAAAGTGCAGGCAGAGAAAATGTCTCTCTTTGGCGCATGGACGAACTCATTTGGCGCTTTCGTCACTCATCCAAGAGTTTAGGTAGATTGACCAATCAAATGATGCGTACTATGTTACGTTATATTATTAATTGTTCATTGATTGGGAAAAAGTTGTTCTGTGCGTTAAAATTTGCCGAATTCAGAATCAGCCGCCACAACTGAAAACTACCTTTGTCGATTGTTGTCTTATTTATGAAGTCTTGGACGAAACAATAAGAAAGGAGGGCTTCTCTATTTCCTTAACTTCCAGAGGTGATTAACTTGTAATTTCTCGTTGTGATTCCAATACATTATCTTACAAACAGGTTACGAGAACAGCGAAGCTCATCAGCTAGTTAGAGGATGTTATCTGGATTTGAATAAAATTAACCAATTAACAAGGAAACGTATGGAAGTCAATTGGGAGAATATTTCATTGGATCTTTGGAATTAAAGGGTAAAGTAAAACTTTCTCTTATCATGCTCTTCAGTTGAGTAACAGTTTCATGGACTCAAAAAGAGTCAACTGAGGCATTTTCGAAGTCAAGAATAAGTTTGCGATTCTAGAGCCATTGAAGGCGAAAGTAATTTCAAATACAGAGGAAAAGTAGAGCCATTTAATTCATTGTACTTGATCAAATACAGAGAACTACATGTTAACTCCAAAGCCGCTTTCCCACAGAGGTTTCCGCTGTCATTTTTATTGTTTGCCTCTTCCTTTTTTGGATTGAGTGGGAGTTTAACGAGAAAAGGTTGCAGTGCTTTCATTTTCAAAAATCTCATTAGGGCCAAAACAACAAACAAACCAAATTATGTTTTGATGTACGAGGTCATGCTTATACCTGACTAGCAGGAAGTACCATAGCAACGCTCTTGATAATTAATCTCCCACAACGTTTTTCTTTTTTCTTCTAAATTATGTACATTATTGTTTATAGAACTTCCTCTGTGACCACGACACCAAGCAAAAGTGTAAAAATGTTTTAACGACTTCATTGTTCACCGTTGACCACAAAAAACAAATTTCTATATTTTGACGATATTTGTCAAGTTTTTTTCAGTGAAGTCGGTAGAGTGCAAAGGGAAATCGAAAATCCAAAGGTACTTTAATTTTAATTAGTGCTCTCGGTTAAATTGCCTCAGATCTTGTCAAATAATCCCCTTTTCAAAAATAGCTAAATAGGTTGGTTAAATTTCCTGTCGATGATAACCCGGTAAAGTTTACACTGAACACAAATACTGATTGGTTCGCTAACTTCCAGTTTATGTTTGATCTTAGTTCTCGTCTTCTTTCATTTTGCATTTTAAAATTTTTCATACACAAGCTTTTCTAAGATGTTCCTGGTTTTAATGGATTTGCTAGCGTTCGAATGATTACATTTCGGGTTTTAGTTTACACTCGAATATATATATACATATATTTTTTTTTACAACCTCGAGTTAAACGCAGATTCGCGGCTATATTCCGTAATCTTTTAACTCTTTAAGTGTTTTTCTATGCGGTTTTTACTAAAGAAAATTTGCGGTTGAATCTTAGTTTTCTAAGCTTCTGTGTTGTGTAGTCTGTCATCTTCTACCTTGAATTAAAACAAAGTACATTTCAAAATGCGCTATAAAATAGACTTAAAGAATCAGCAAGATTAAATCAACTTGATTGAGTTGATCCTTAAAGAAATCTTTACTCATTGTTATTCTAATTTGGGAAATATTAACACAGACAATTGCTTTTACTTCTTGGTGACGGTCTAAAAGGAGTTAACAAAAGGTATGTGATTTGTTATTGTGAATGCTGATTGAATTAACTCCTTGGCTTTGAAAGTCAGTAAAGAATGCACACTTCGTTCCAATCACAGATAATTTCCCTTTATGATTGCTATGAAGTGTTTCAATCCAGCTTGGAATCAAAGTCAGTAGAATGTGCTCGGTGAAGTAATAATCGATTATGTTCTTTCAAGCTTTTAAGATATTTCAAGGATGTTATTACCTGGAACACAGAACCACTTTCAAGAGCCATAAGATTTGGAATGAATCATTATTTGGCAGTGTTGATATGTAGCTAAAAGTTTTGATGAAGATGGAAAATATTCAAGGCATACTTAAAAACTGAGTCTTCTCCTCGTGCAGTTTATTAGGGGGTTATTTTTGGCTTCGACATCAGCCACAACTCATTCCTATCTACTTTCACCGTTACGTTTTTTTTTTTTTTTTTAACTTCTTCTAAAAGTCCTTAGTATATAAAGATATTTTAGAATATTATACGTTGCACACACCTGAAATATTTAAATTGTTTTAAAAATTAACTTATTCATTGGTTCATTTTTTCATGATTCTGTCCGTGCACTTATTCGTTCTTCCGTTCAATCATTAATTCGTGCGCTGATTCACTTCACTTATTCATTTAGACCTGCACAATGCTCTACATTTTCCTTGCAAAAATTCATGAAGTTGATAGCAGAACATCGTCTAAAATGATTTTGAGTCGTACATATCTTATTATCCCTTTAACACTAGTTGCAGTCATTGGTGCAACTTCCAATCCCAAAGTTGAATGTATAATTCATAATGGTAGATAAGACAATTAGTCGTCAGCTAGGAAATGTTCGCCTTACGTAAACGAAAACCAAATCCTCACGTGATCTCAAAAAAAACTCAATCACAAGCATTTACTTTGTAAGTAGTACTTACGGTTGGCAAGAAAAAGTTCTATCTAATTTTTAAAGAAGTTTAGAAGCCCACAACCTGACAAAGTCTGACTAAATTCATCACTGATTCGTAACTTACTCCTGGTCACATTCTGTACACGTGCAATTGCGGGTTAATGGTTGTAGTAAAGCCAGTTACCCTCCGATAGCAGAGTTGATGCCTTTTCCCTTTGACAGAAATTTTGTTTGTATCACGAAATTAATG